ACAACACAGATTTTTAACTACAATCATTTTTCAATGACTTTTACAGTTTTTTTTGTGATTTATAGTTTGTATTTCCCCCCGTCTGTGTTCCCTCCTCTGTCATTTGCTGGTGAAATATGTTGGACCTGTGACTCAGTAAAGATGTGAACCCAACACAGAAGCAGTGGTCACTTTATTGTCATACTTTTGCACTTTTTCATGCAGTCATAAATTATATTTTGAGCTCGATTTAACCTAATATATGTCAAGAGCTGAGAGACCTCTGAAGCTCCACCATGAGGTTGAAATTTGGGTTTTTAGTGAAATGTCTTGTCGTCTTTTGGGGTGGATTTCTGGTTCAGACATTGATGTTAACCTCACAAAGAACTGACCGCCATCATTCAGTCAAATATTTCAATTTACAAATACTTTGCTTTATGATAAATCTCCCGCAAAACTAAGCTCTTTGATTTTTAGACCGACAAAACAAGACATACTTTGGCTTTTCATAAACTGGGATGAACTTTAACGTTTTCTGTCATTTTATAATGCAGGCAGGTAATTTGATACTGAAAAACAATATGTATTTGCAGTATCTCAGAGAAGGGCATCTTATAATTCCTGATGTTATCTCCAACATTGAATGGGCCATAGAATGCTTTTTGGGGGTTTTCCCTTAACTGTAGCGTGTTATATAGGGTTTTTTTTTTATATATGGAGTTTTTCTCCCACACTGAACTGCCTCCATTGGACTCCTTTGTTTACTTCCTGAACATAATGACATCACTATGTTACACTTGCGCTTCTTTTCACTAGCTCTCTAACAAAGTATACGTGATAAGCTAAGGGACATCTCCAAGTGGTTGACCAATCACAACAGAGCCGGCCAGCTAACCAATCACAGCAGACTGGGCTCTGGTTTCAGACAGAGGGTGAAAAGAGGTGCAGGCAGCATGAGAAAAATAAAGAGCTTTTTGAACATTAAAGCATGGAGATATGTCACAGTAGAGACACTACATACTGATATGAAACTGAAGATGAGCATAATATGGCCCCTTTACATTCTTGAGGAAAGTTTGTTTTTCTTGCGTGGCTCCACAGTGAACAAATTATCAAGAAAATGAGATTATTCTTGATTATTTAGTGTTTAAAAGTGTCTTTGGGAAAGATACTAAACTCCAAATTGGCAGTATGAGACAAATACATGTGTTTTAAATCATTATTGAATACCTGGATCAGAGTTCCCGTTAGAATATTTTTCCCCCGGTGTTCCGGATTAACTTGTTTCCCAATCAACTCGTTTCCGTGGGGTGCGTGGCATTCGACTGAAATACACATTTCGATCGCTTTCTTCTGTCGTTTACATACATCTTTTGGTATATTTGGCTTCTTAGGAACACGTTGATGCACATCCAGTACCAGTGTGTGAGGTTGTGATTACGATGGCGATATCCGGACGCGAACAGCGAGGACTACAACAAGACAAACGAGTTGCTCGAATAAATCATTTAAACCAGCTATTGTTTCCAGACTTATTACGGAATATCGTTGTTAATGTCCAAGTCCATCTGTGTATACCTTCAGACAGCCTCCAAGTGAAGCACACGGTGTTTACTCACAGTTTGAAAGCAGCGTGGAGAAGTCTTCATCTGTGTTAATCTGTGATTATCCCACGGAACTGGGACCCGCCCACGTTAAAATGTGACCCGCCCAGATTAAATTGTGTTACGATTTCTGTGGCTATCTACCAGCGATCATGTTTAATATGAAAGACTACCCACACATGTATCCCTTGTAAAAACGGTATTGTGCAGTAGCACTCATCCAGATAAAATGTGACTGTTACCTCGTTTTGCAAAGATAGCAGCAGAAATGTCATTGGGGATATTTAGTCCCAACATTCACGACCAAGCAGCATTTTAAAGTCTAAATATCCCCAATGACATTTCTGCTGCTATCTTTGCAAAACGAGGTAACAGTCACATCTTATCTGGATGAGTGCTGCACAATACCGTTTTTATAAGGGATACATGTGTGGGTAGTCTTTCATATTAAACATGATCGCTGGTAGATAGCCACAGAAATCGTAACACAATTTAATCTGGGCGGGTCACATTTTAACGTGGGCGGGTCCCAGTTCCGTGGGAAGATCACAGTTTAACACAGATGAAGCCTTCTCCACGCTGCTTTCAAACTGTGAGTAAACACCGTGTGCTTCACTTGGAGGCTGTCTGAAGGTATACACAGATGGACTTGGACATTAACAACGATAATCGAAATGTGTATTTCAGTCGAAAGCCACGCACCCCACGGAAACGAGTTGATTGGGAAACAAGTTGATCGGGAAACAAGTTAATCCGGAACACCTGTTAACATGTCCGTTAAAGTTGAAATCTTCCGGACAAAATGAGAAAAGTGCCGGTCAAAGGTCTTCTTTGTTATTTATTGTGCTTTAAAACAAATTGATATGATTCGATATTAAACAAACTAATTATAGTAGCCTAGATTAACTACATTATTCAAAAGTGTACAGTAATTTACAATCACACGGGAATAATAAACGGAGCGCTCTCCCTCTCCTGACAGCCCGTCAGTATCATGCAGCTCGCGGATCAGTAATGAGTGACCCGACAGTAAAACTAAACATATCTATAACTAGTTACGGTAATTTGAGAGGTCATTAAAATAGCTAGGCCTACGTGTGCTATTCTAACCTGGTGTGTGCTTTGTTCCGCTCACCGCTGCATGTGATCATCCAGAGCTGCGTGTCGACTCGTCAGCAGCAGCTGATCTCTCTCTCCCGTCAGATTAGACTTCACTCGTGTTTATGTCCATATCGATCAGATCTAGCTAGTTCTAGATAATGATAGGACTACCTGCTTATTAAAAGACACCTAAACAATAAGCGTCGCTATGCAACCGGGTGAGGCCGCAAAGTATAGCGCAGCATTATGCATTTGTTTACATGGCCACCGGAACCCCGAGGCATTACCAACAGATCAACGCACAATCAACCCATACAGGACATCTCTTTCTCCACATTACGTGTTAGACACTTTATATATACAGTCTATGGTTAGACATTAGAATTGACTATTCTTGTCTGTCACATAGGCCTACTCTTTTGTCTGTCACATAAATGGCGCAAGTTGCGCAACTGATGTAATATTGCGCTAAACGGAAATTATTTTGAATGGACACTTTGACCGGAGAGATTTAGATTTGCCGGTCTTCAACATATTTTACCGGTCGTAGTCCGGTAATTACCGGCTAACGGGAACTCTGACCTGGATCATAAATACAATAACCCAGACAACATGCAGCCTGTCTCACCATAGAAACACATTATTTTTGACTGATGACTCTAAAAAAAAATTCCAAAGTTTATTACAGCTGGTGTTCTGCAGGTCAGCCTGACTTCAAACCTCAGCTGATGTTCGTCTTACTTCTCCAAAAGCCCAAAGTCTCAGATGGGCTCAATAAAGGGGTAATGTAATATAAGTGCCAACAATATCTGTCCAGATTTGCAGCACTGGGTCAAAATATGTTCCATCTGAGAGTGGATGGATGGAGAGCCAGGGCCCAGCTGTTCCCTTTAAGTGTCCTGAAACGCTCATCATTAAAAACATTTTTGGAAGTATCGTTGGGAATAAATCTGCAGAGAAAAACAAAACTCTCAAAAAGCAATTTAGAAAGCATTGTACATGAGTGTGTTTTTCCCCAGAGTTATTAGTGGACATGTCCCTAAAAACACTGAAATCTGAATTGTAATGCTGGTGTTTTTCCATTAGCAGAAGTAAAAACGTGACTCTATTGCACTCAAAACTAACACAGAAGCCTAAACCCAATGTGTGTGTGAATTATTTAACATTTTAAACAACTGTTAATGAAAAAAATAGGTAAATTAGGATATTTTGTAAGCACTGCCAGCCTCTGACATGCAGTACAAGTGAATCTGGGTTTATTTAATAGATTAACAGGAAGGTAATTATCCAAAAACTGCAGTAAATATTCAGACTGTATACGCTGTCCTTAAAATATCCCATTTTCATTCAGGGTCTTCTCAAGAAAGGCATACTTTAAACAATTCAATGTTGAGTGGGGGTAATGCTATTCATACAAATTAATTATATAAAAATCTGTATTTAAAAAAAGACCACATGGCTACCTTGAAAGCCTTAAACAACCTTTAGGTCGAATCCTTCAAACAAGCCCTCAAAACCCCCTCTTCAAACTAGCTTTTCCCGTGTGTGTGTGTGTGTGTGTGTGTGTGTGTGTGTGTGTGTGTGTGTGTGTGTGTGTGTGTGTGTGTGTGTGTGTGTGTGTGTGTGTGTGTGTGTGTGTGTGTGTGTGTGTGTGTGTGTGTGTGTGTGTGTGTGTGTGTGTGTGTGTGTGTTGTGTGTGTGTGTGTGTGTGTGTGTGTGTGTGTGTGTGTGTGTGTGTGGTGTGTGTGTGTTGTGTGTGTTTGTGTGTGTGTGTGTGTGTGTGTGTGGTGTGTGTGTGTTTGCCTTCAGTGATGGAAGAAGTACTCAAATATTGTACTTAAAGTCATAAAAACCACAGTGTAGAAATACCCCATTACAAGTAAAAGTCTGGCATTCGAAATGTTACTTAAGTAAAAGTACAAAAGTAGTAGCATCAAAATATACTTAGAGTACCAAAAGTATACGTTTTCATAACGCAGAAGAGCCATTTTGCGAATAATGTGTATCTTATCACATGCAAGATTCTATTTATTAAGTGTGTGTGTGTCCTCTCTTTACTTCCCTCCCAAACAGTCCACCTGTCACTCAGACTCCTCAGGTCCTCCCCTCTTCCCTCCCCCTCCCTCTTCGGCCTCCATTGGAGACGTTTCCAAAGTCTTTTCTTCCTCCTCTCTCCACCCTCACCCCATCCCTCAGCCCCTCCCCCCTCTCTCCCTTTAACTCTGCCCTCACTCCCCCTGCGAGTAAAAAAATGAATTTCCACTCAGAAATATTTCACCTCAGCTGCAGAGAGGAGTCGAGCACTTTCTGCAGGATGTGGAGTGTGTGTGTGAGTGTGAGTGTGTGTGTTGAGGTAATGAGGGGGGTGTGTGTGTGTGGAGGGGGGGGTGTGTTGTGGTGAGTGCAGCCTCTCAGTGAGCAGCTGGATCAGCAGCAGTCCCTCCGCACCGCAGGTGAGTTCAACTTTTCTCCACAGATTTGATCCTGCAAGTGTTTAGATCGGTTTTTTTATTTGTTATTACTTAAATATACTTTAAACGCAAATACAAGAACAAATAGAAATTAGCACCCATGGTCCTAATGTCATTTATTTGTTTAACTAGTAACGGTTTTTAATATGAATGAATAAACTCTAACATTGCGTACTCTTCTGTCACACATTTTTATTTTTAAACCAAATTAGAAATTAGATTCAGCTCCTAGATTTGTAAGTAACTATGTACATTTAGTTTAAATACATAAATATTATTAGTATTATTAATTGCAATATTTTGTGTGATATCTACTGCTTCATTTTATAGATTTATTTTTCTATTAATAATAAAACTTGTTTAAAATAAGTAAAAATGAATATATTTGTATTTATTTCTTGTTATTTCTTTCTCTGTACTGTTATTTTTTAAGTTAATATGTTATTATTATTGTTATTATTATTATTTTGTGTTAATTCTACTCATTGGTGTATTGTATATATGGTATTCTATTGGTGGTATTGTTATTGTTGTTTGAAATTATATATTTCATTTTGTTTATTATTTTTTGTTGTGATGTTTTTGTCAATACTGATATTTTTTAAACAATAATAAAATGTATAATTCTTTATATTTTTTGTTTTTTTATTAATATTTAGTGGTATATCTATAAGCATACTTTTTAAAAATTATATAAGTTCTCTTACTGTTGTTTTTGTTTTTGTTTGTTTTACTACTTATTATTTGATTATTGTTGTTTTGCAGGCATTAACAAAAGGACAAAATGCAGACTTCTGTGTTTGTGTTTTGCCCTAAATGGATTACAAAGCTGTTGAAAAAATGTATTTGATAAAACATGGAAGATTTTCATTATCAATAAATAATACACATATCCCATTAACTATCACATACGACAAACACCTGAAAAATATTGAAATTATTAATTACATTTTCTGTCATTTAACTCATCTTTTAATGGTTGCTCCTTTCATTATGAGACTATCATCAGTAATAATCCTAAATAAAAATAAATGTGTCTTATAATATGTTATGTACTGAATTTCATTTCTGCTCATTAGGATGTTGCATGAAGTTTTGTCGATGCCTTCACTATCAGGAGTCATGAGGACACTTTTCTGTCTCCTTCTCTGGAAGAAAACAGCAGGTAAGAACATCAGTGGGACTCTTAAAATAACGCAGGACCGACAAAATGATCTTTGCAGATGTATGGCAACCAGTCCTTAGTTGTTATTGCCTTGAGAGGCATGACGATCCATTTTTCAGTCATCCAAAATATTTCCTTTTCCCTTTTGCCAGGATAATATTTGGTTCCTCAGAACACAAAGTACATATATTGTTTGTTCATGGAAACTAAAACTGACCAGGAAGAAAACGTCAGTGCTGTTCGTCCTTTAGGAAAACATGTTGAAGGGTTAGTCCACTTCAGACTCTTTTGGCCTTTACGAGTAGAAAAATATGAACTTGGTTTTCCGCATCTGTTCTTGAATCATAAACACAGAAGAGAAACCATTTGATTAGTGCAGTAATAAGTCCTAAAATCCAGAAATGAGTCAGCATTTTAGCACTTTTGGTTCCCCTATGTAAAATAACGTGAGTGGTTAACACACTGAAGAGATTCACACGTTTACTTCGACGACAAAAAATACACATACAATTATATTCTATGTTTCTTAAACAAGTGTCTAAATGAGACAACTAAAAGTCATCACGCCCAAAATTAGCCGCTTTTAGCTTAGCGGTGGTGACGTGAAGTCATGTGACCGTGCTGTAGTTCCTTTATAGCCCAACATTAGCCACCTTTAGCTTAGCGCTGGTGTCGTGAAGTCATGTGACCGTGCTGTAGTTCCTTTATAGCCCAACATTAGCCGCCTTTAGCTTAACGGTGGTGACGTGAAGTCATGTGACCGTGCTGTAGTTCCTTTATAGCAAGGTTGCCAACTTTGGGTACCTGGCTGGAGTGAGATTTTGATATCATGGGTTTAATTACACATATGCGCACTAAATGACTGCTATCGTGTCAGTAGCGGGACCTTAGCATATATATAGGATATATATACAATATATACAAATACACAATATTTGACACAGACTATAAAGGGCACACAGTTTCATTCACTAATGAAAGTCAAACACATGTTTGTTTCCACTGTTTTATTGTGTGCCTGTCGCGATAAGCAATTAATTGACTTATCGTACGATAAATAAAAAATAAACTCGATAAATTTCCATTTACATGAGGATGTGACTAGCAGTTTGAAAGGATGTACTTGAACTATTATTATATATTATCATTATGTCAGTGGTCTAAAATGGTCATACAACGGTGCCGACAATATTATCGTTTATCGCAATAATTTCCGGGAAAAGGTATCCAACACAATTTATTATCGTGAGAGGCCTATACATGAAACACACACACACAAACAAATCTACAGACTTAACTGCCAAATATATTAATTAACGCACTCTCACTCTCATATACTCTTTGACTCTATTTTGGCCTAGTAGAACAATAAGCAGCAGACTTTTACTTTTTTATCATTTCTACTGGATCTTAGATCTGCGCATGCGCAATACGGGTCGGGGATTGACCAACCGGCTCTCACTGCTCTGCTGCCTGTTAACGTTGTTAAGAGTGGTGGGGGCGGGGAGGGAGCGGGGAGGGAGCGGATCGACAGCTTGAGCAGCTGTCAACTCAACATTGTAAAATAAGTTTAACCAACCAAAAACGATCGCCGTTCATCTTGTTTTTGGCGTGAGAATAGTTTGGGCAGCGTGAGAGCGTGAGATTGAGAGCGAAAGCGCGTGTCACACGCCAGATGCGTGAGAGTTGGCAACCCTGCTTTATAGCCCAACATTAGCTTTCTACTTCTGGTAAAATGTTCTGTTACCAATTACCTGATTTGGATTCAAAGTGGTGCTAATATGTGGAGATTATCCTGCTGATCAAAACGGATAACCTGTAACTAGGTCAACAAGAGTTGCAACAAGAGGAGACTGCGTTGTTCCATTAAGGAAGAGTTCATTCAGCCAATCTTCTTTTTCTTTTAAAGCTGCACCACAGTGGAACTCAATCCCAGTAAAGATTAGAGAACAAAACACCTGCAGTTTATTTAAATCTACCTTAAAAACATGGTTAGTGGAAAGTCAGCTCTGTCAACACTGACACAATCTGTACATTACAACGCTCTGTTTGTACATATGCCTTGAACTGTATCTGTCTGCTTTGTGAATATGTATTTTAGTTTAGTTTTTATGTTTTTATATATGCTTTTATCATAATATAAGTATCTCTGTTGAATGTTGTTTTACTGATTGTATTTACCTGTTATTTGAAGTGAATTTTTGTTTTTAGGATGACTTTTAACATCTGTCCAGGGACTACAGACGAAAAATAGCCTGTTGGCTAACTCTGGCGCATTTACAGAAATGTCAATCAATGTGCACTGTCCCTGCCAAATAAATATATAAATGAAATAACAAATGTTTGTTCGCGACAGAGATAATTTAATTTGAGCAATATTCCAATCCAATGGAAGAATCCCAATGACGTTTTGTAGAGGCTTGCAATGCCAACCTCAATCTGGCCTACAAATACGTCATTCCCTGCACCAAAGTCACTCATCTACTGTTTCTTAGCTCAAAGTGTGCAGGTGCGCTGCTCGGTGGGGCCGTTGGGAACGCTGCACCCGGTTCAGGGTCGGCTGGAGCGGTTCGATGCCGGGCCGGGCTGCGCTGCCAGAGAACGAGGAGACAAAGAAACTCATGTCATCGCAGTGGGGAGAGTTACAAACAGCCCAGAAAACCAGGTAGTTTTGGTACAACTGGCCTCCCTTCTAACATGATAACAAAGGTTGTGAACATGACAGGATGTATGATTACCTAGAAGAGCATCAGGACTGTTTTAGGTATATGATAGCTATGTGATTATTTTTAGGAAAAAGTCAGAATTTTTAGATGGTCAGAAAAAGTCTGAATCTTTAGAAAAAGTAAGAATTTTGTGAAAAGTAAGAATTTTGAGAAAAAGTCAGAATTTTGTGAAAACGTCATTTTTTTAGGAAACCGTCAATATTTTGGAAAAAGTCTGAATTTTTGGATTTTGAGAAAAATTCAACATTTTGAGAAACAACTCAATATTTTGTACATGACAGGATGTATGATTACCTACAAGAGCCGGTATTCCTCTATCTTGTGACTGCGTAACTCCCTCTCTTGTATATCAGCGTGTGAAGGACACTGCTCAGGAACTAGTTGATGCTCTGTATGTGATGACTACTTCCATAATGGAGAGGATCACAGATACATGGATCCTGAGATTGAAGCTCAAGCCGGTGACCAGTGATACTTTTCTAACACGTCCTGTTCCACATCAAAGCCTTTCCTCGTGTGTCTGCAGGTGACGGTGTTGCTGAAGCCTTTTTCTCTGACGCCTCTCAGAAACATCCACCTGCTGCTCAGCTCCAAGATACCAGTCAGCTGGTGGCTGGAGGCCGAGAAACTCCCCCTCAACCTGCCTGTACTGGTGCAGGTCAGTCCATCATATCCTCAATGTCTTTTAATCTCAACTACCTATAGAGTGGTGCAGGAATGAGTCCCAAAACCCAGAAATTAGTCAGTATTTTAGCACTTTTTGGTCCCTTGGCTAGAAGTAAATGTTTTTTTGAAGTGTGTTTTTGGTTGTTAGCCTGAAATAAGGTCTGAGGTTAACACAAGTCAAACAGATTTTACGTTTTGTTCTACGACATATTGGCTGACCCCTGAAAGGTCAATTCCTGAAGCTTTTATGTCTGACAAATGGCAGTTGCTAACGAGTAGCCAAATGAGACCATTAATCGTCATCACGCCAAACATTAGCTTTTCAAGTTTTGTTCTACGACATAAAATACGTCAGTAAATACCCCACTGGTGAATTAAAAAAGCTTTTAATGTGTAAAAAACAACTGCAAAGTGATGCGAAACATCAGCAATGAGTCTCACAATGTTAACACTAAGTAGCAAACCGCAAACGAGCTTTTTACTTATGGAGATTTTACACTTTAACAGTTAAAAGTGGTTTTATTATACACAGAGATTATTTTTCTACAATATTGCAAAATCCAATGGGAAAATTGGCTTTTCAACAAGAACCCTTGAGATGCTAACATCTGGGTTAGTCTACACAATTATCCTTGCACCACTTTATCCTCACTTTTAAATATATTTTAATGCTTACCTTTTTTATGTTGCATCAACTTCTTTGCGCTTGTATTCTAGGTATCTTCAAACTCCAATGTGCATACCAGCACGCTGCATTTAAATGTCCAGACGGTGCATTCACTGCCTTTTCATCCTCGTGCTCTGCACCGCTGGGCTCTGAAACACCACGGAAACCTGTCCTCTTTCACACACACAACTCACGGAAACCGAGTCTACGTCCCACTGGGAGAAGGTGAGCCGCCAACAAACCAAATATAATAGTGAGGACAGATTATAAGCTAACAGCGTTTAATATTTTCACAATGAAATCTCAGTCTTTATTCAGGTTTAATGCATATTTATAGAACAAATCCAGTGCATTTAAAAGGGAAAATGGAGATTTGCTTGCCAAAGACATTGAAGATAGTTTGACAAACAGGTTTCTTATGGCGCATTTCCACTGCAGGGCCTCGCTCTGCTTAGTACGGTATAGTTCGGCCTTAGTAAGCCAGGCTCACTTTATGCTGCGTTTCCATTACAGTTTAGTAGCTGGGGCAGTAACTATAGTAACGCAGTGTAGGCGGAGCCGTGACGTCATCTTCGATGAGAACCCCAGAAAAACAACATCAGCCGTCAGCTCTTAGCACTCAGAGCTCACAGCTCCTCATATCTGTTCAGAAACTAGACAAAAGTTAAACAAGTACAAACCACAGACTGCCTGTGTCATGGCGAATACAGTCGCTGGTTTATTTATGTCTGTATAGGCCGTTGTTGTGAGTGTGGACGCTCGGAGCATATATAACGTTAGCTTAGCCGATCTCCATTCAGAAAACACGCATTTTAAAAGGTTTTTCGCCTGCAGACTTGTCAAAGCATTAATTCATGGTTTTTACTAACCGGTATCAGTATGTTGTTACTTCGGCATCATTTTGAAACGTGTATTACAATTAAATCACGGTCAAATATGTTCATCTTGTTGTAGTTGTAGCCCCCTTGCCAGCGATTCTCTCTCTAGTTTAGCATACTCAGCCCGACTCAGCCTGGTTGTTGGCCCGGATAGAACCTCAATTGTATGGGGGCCAGAAAAACCAGAAAAACTGTGAAATAGTACCCGCTAGCCGGAACTACGCCAAGTGGAAACGCAACCAAAAACGGGCCGTGCTTAAACCGCGCTGTAGTGGAAATGCGCCATTAGATATCTTTGTGAAGAATTAGAAAGTAAAAAATGTTTATAGTTGTGTCAGTCTTCTTATCAAACCCTCTACAAACGCATATCCCATATTTATAGAAACAATCCAGTGCAATTAAAAGGGAACATAGAGATAACATAGCTTGCCCAAAACATTGAATATAGTTTGACATATTTGAAACAGGTTTCCTATATTTCTTTGTGAAGAATTAGATGAGGTCTAGAACAATTTTATAACTTTGTCTATTTGTTAAACACAAGCTTCTGTGCACTGGTTGATACTCTTATCTCCACTTTTACCAGACATAAATAGATATTGAAGTGACTGTTATTTTGTATATATTGATTGTTGTGTTTTTATCTTAATGTGTGCATATGTATAAATGTGTCTGTTGATTGTGTATTTATAGAATATCTACATATTGTATACATATTTTTATATATATTTGTATTTTTGTATAAGGGATTGTGGGAAACGGTATTTTGATCTCTCTGTCTGTACACACAAACTGAAAGATTGACAATAAAGTTGACTTTGACAACACCAGGCTCAGGTCGGACGGATTGCAGAGAAAGATCTTGCTTCACCTACTTCCCTCTCATCTTTTTTCTGTGGTACAGACCCCAGCCTCCCTGCTGTGTGCCAGCTGCAGTCCGTGTTCCTCTCCAACAGCTACGTGACCTCTGACCTGCAGACACAGGAAGTGCAGGGCTGCAGTGACGCTCCATCAGGAGGGATCAGTGCTGAAGTCCATGTGATCAAACTCCATTCAGCGGGATCAGGACTGTGTGGGTGAGGGCATGCATCCTCTGAAAGTCCTGTATGACTGTTATACAGCATGCAAAGTTAAGGCCCAATTTCAAACCACCCCCTTCACCCTACCCCTACACACTACCCCTCCGTTTGCGCGTTCACGCGGAGGGTCCTCCACATTAAGCGCTGTTCCAAACCAACGAGTGTTGAGGGGGAGTGGGTTATCAAGCCCTCAAACAGCGAGTCTGCATCACCTGATTTCATCTGCTGCTCCACCTGACCAATCAACGCTGGGTGGGTCCGGAAACAAGCTGTTTACAAGTAGTTCCTGCAAACATTTAATTTAAGAGACATTAATATCGTCATACAGATGTTAACAACTTCATGTTACCTCGTATTGTTTTTAACTCAGAATCATATACCCGTGTTTAGTCTAGAAAACATTAATTGTGTGCATTTTATTATAAAGTTGTGTATATTTGTCCCAAAGCCTCCTGCTGTTTTTAAACCCTCCACCTGAAAGAAAGGAGCCTTGTTCAGCTGCGAGTGTGACTACAAACGGAGTTCACTTCATCACTGAGCGGCGGAGTGGTTTGGAATTGGTCCATAATCTCTGTGTCTCTGTGTTCTTCAGCTCTCTCCAGGTGGAGGTGATTGTCTCTCTTCTGCCCCTGAAGGTCGACTCAAGGACCCAGACGGTTGTTCTGATTCTCAGCAGCTCGGTGCCCGTCAACTGGGCGATTCACGCGCCTGGTGTCCGGGGTCAAGTTTCTGTTTATGTAAGGGACACATCTCTCCTTTGTATCTGAATTTGTCATCAAATTTAAATATCCAACAAGTATATTTCGTCAGACAACAATCAGATCTGCAGCCACAGCTTCCCTCTAAGAAAGCACATTTTTGTATCGACATGTAGAAACTAGACGCGCCAGAGAGGAAGCAGGGCTTATCGTAATAAAGATAGATGACTATCCTTTTGCGATACAGTGTCACGTTAATTTATTTGCATCATTCAACTACAGGAGTGTAAAAACCCTTGCAAATCATCCACATTTTCTGTTTTTGTAAGGGACACCTTGTGTCAATATAGCTTAAAGCTCACCTATTATGCAAAATCCACTTCTTCATGTCTCTTCTACATCAACATGTGCCCCCTCTTCTTCATGGCTCTTCTACATCAACATGTGTCCCCTCTTCTCCATGTCTCTTCTACATCAACATGTGTCCCCTCTTCTTCATGTCTCTTCTACATCAACATGTGTCCCCTCTTCTTCATGTCTCTTCTACATCAACATGTGTCCCCTCTTCTTCCTGTCTCTTCTACATCAACGTGTGTCCCCTCTTCTTCATGTCTCTTCTACATCAACATGTGTCCCCTCTTCTTCATGGCTCTTCTACATCAACATGTGTCCCCTCTTCTCCATGTCTCTTCTACATCAACATGTGTCCCCTCTTCTTCCTGTCTCTTCTACATCAACGTGTGTCCCCTCTTCTTCATGTCTCTTCTACATCAACATGTGTCCCCTCTTCTTCATGTCTCTTCTACATCAACATGTGTCCCCTCTTCTTCATGTCTCTTCTACATCAACATATGTCCCCTCTGTGGAAAGAGACTCTGAAAGTTTCAGGAACAAAGATTCTCTCTCTTTTTGTCCTGATCCATTTCTATAAAAACCTGTCTGAAAATGAGCTGATCAGATTTTGGCCACTTTATGATGTCATAACGATGTTTTGGCTTGTGTAACCATTAGTCAATCACCAACCAAGGTAACCCCCCCCCCCCCACCTTATCACCTGAACCTCCTCCTAGAGCACCAATAGGCGCGTTCATACCAAGTACTTTACCGTACTTGGTTCATCAGAACTCTTTAGTTCTGATGAACTTCACACCGGAATAAGTCCCTGGGGGAGGATTAGGTAAATGAAGCCGCTGACGTCACTTCTTCTTCTTCTGCTTTGGGTTTACTGGCAGGCTGCAAACAACTTCACGGCGTATACTGCCATCTGAAGTCCCCGGCCGGAAGTCCCCGGAGTTGGGGACTGGCTTCAGTAGAAGCTGCTGGGAGTCCCAGCAGCTTCTACTGAAGCCTTCCGAGTACATCGCCAGAACGCCGACACCTCCTCATCTCCACCGCTCCCACCCATGTTTTCTTTTGTGTTGCCATAAGTTAGTCTCTCGCCGTTTGTGCACGGAGCTAATACTAATAATGCTAATGCAAGGAAAATAAAATGGCGGCTTCACAAAACTTTTTGGGAGTTTTACGGGGCGTGGTTTGCAATCCGCCCAGCCAATCAGACATAGGAACCTTTTCTTCCATGAAAGTACCGGCTCTCTAGCAGGGACGGAAAAGGGGATAAAATCATGGATGTATAATAAGAACTGGATACAGCGTGGGAGGCGGGGCCTCATTCATTCCTATGAGAGTTGCTCATTGGCGCATGGATGACAAAATGGCCCAACTTTTGAGAGAGTGAAACGTCACAGATTACCCAGCATGCCTGAGAAGTACCCGTATGTGCGCTCATAGAGCATGCGCAACTTTAACCATGCCCCCCAAAAGGCTCGTTCACATCAAGCAAGTCAATTTGCGTACACTTAACAGCACCGCACGTTCTGGGTTGTTATGATGGATTTGATATTAACGTTGCAGTTAGCAGCTAGCGGCTAGCTAGTGTAACGTCCGAGCCATTAGTAATTATGCTAATGTAAACATACAACTTGTTATTTGACACACACAAGGTTGTTCATGTGTGTGTATAAATATACAACACAGGCTATATATATATATATATATATATGTATATATATATATTAGGGCTGTCAAACGATTACAAATTTTAATCCGATTAATCACAGCTTTAAAATTAATTAATCATGATTAATCACCATTCGAACTATGTCCAAAATATGCCATTTATTTATGTATATTTTTGTGGGAATGGAAAGATAAATGAAAGAAGGCGGATATATCCATTTAACATACAGTATCTATGTTTATTATAACATTGTTCTGCGTGTCAAAATGAAAGACAACCCACACACCTATCAATCATCAAACCGTGGGGTCTTAATTCATTACGTGTTGATTTCTATCAACGGGGGAGTACTTCAGGAAAGTCGACAGAGGGGGGGGGGGGGCGGCTAGTGGAGTACTTCGTGACCACAGAGTGTGAACGTTGTGATCAGCTGTTTTAGCGCAGTTCTCCAGTGAAGGGGGGGGGGGGGGGGAGTCTCCCTCCGCAGCTGGTTGGCGTAGTTTTGACACAATTCCGTTGTACAGACCGACGTTAACAGCAGCCCTGTCTGTGCACACGGAGACCGACTCTGTCGTCCGGTGATCTAACCGCCTTCTGGAAAAGCTTCACAAGTACGTCGGTACGCAAATGCGCGTTGTGACACAAGTGACACAAGTGACGGTACGCATTTCAGATTACGCACATAACCTGCGTACCAGTTATGTGCACCCCGTACTACAGCAAAAGTATTCTCCGTCGGGACTTCCTGCAACAACACCACGCCGTTATCAAAGATGTTCTATTGAGAAGACGATCACTACGTGACAAAAGTTTTCCAAACCGTGGCTACTGAAATCAATCTTACTAACTGCTGTCTGTGCAATTTACTCCGCGCGAGTTGGCAGACTTTATTTTGCTTACTTTAACATCATTTTTCATGGTGGGGCTAAGCCATTTATTGGTATGGGAGTAGCCTGCCCCAGCCATACCCTGGCGCTGCCACTGGTGGCACGTATGGGGCGGGCCATTCTGCACATGCGTTAAATGCGTTAAATATTTTAACGCAATTAATTCAAAAAATTAATTACCGCCGTTAACGTGATAATTTTGACAGCACTAATATATATATATATATATATATATATATATACACAAGTATAATTAATACAACTGTTAATTTGATTAGAGCTTTGACACATATATCTTTATTTATGTATAAGTATGACGACTTCCTCGGGCGATATCATATGGTATAGCTAATTAATCTGGGTCAAAACGTGTTGTGCCCACATGCAAAGGTTGTAAACTCTGGTTTATCCCTGCATGGTATTATAGTAATAGCAAACAGCAACGTTCAACTCCTTTAATGGTATATTGCAAGTGCAATAAGAAGCTACAGGGACGTTAATCTACGTCGGTAATATTAACTTGATTTAATACAAGATTTACATCATACAGCCCATGTAGTATAATATTTTACAAATGATGAATTAAAGCAAACATGTGCAATATATTCATTATTACAGCTCCGTGGGCTGGCAGTAAGGCTATATGGGTCCGTTCTTATTGTGCATCCATGGGTAAAGGTAAAACCGGGTAAAACTCATGTAGTACTGAACACGTCACATCACATGAACGTGCCGGGCGGCGCGGTCCCACAGGATGGATGAAAATAACTCTCAGAATAACGTTATTAGCACATTTTTACAACTTGAGGAACGAATGTTTTTAATAAGGGCTATAAGTGTTCATACTGGGTAGTTTATTTAGTTTTTAAAAAAATGATCCAACGATTTACAGACCACTCTTTCCCCATGTAAGTCAATGGGAAAAAGTGTTTCCGGGCCTGGCAACCAAACGGAAGTGTAGTACCGCCGTGAAAGCGCCTATTGTGTTCTTTTTAACCAAATATCTCTCAGAGGGGCGTGGGGAGTGGCTCCTTATTATTATCTAGATTCTAAAGTAACAGACAGAGAATCAGCACTTTGGAAACAGGGCTGAAACAGAGGGGATTATGGGTAATGCTACAATGATCTGTTTGGTGTTTAGAGACAAACACTTCAGAGACATGTTTTGTATATATCTGAGATCTATAATATATTGATGAAAAATAGTATAATAGGGAACCTTTAACAACATCACTACAGAAACTACAAAGTTAAGCCACCAACAGATTCAGATAAAGGTCTGAATGCAAACTTGGCAAGTATCCTGTTCTGTCTTTTTCCTTGATTATACCTCAAAACGTACTCGCCATGATGTCTGTGTATCTTTAGTCCTCCCACAGTGTATCCCCGCCCTACCCAGTGGAGCCGGACCTGACCCTGTCCATCACCCTGACCTCTGACCTCTCCTCAGTACCGGACCTTCTGGTTTGGACCTGTGAGAGTGGACACCCCCATGTGACCTCGTACACTGAGGCTGACCTGGCCAATCGCTTTGTGATCCAGCTGTCTGGGGGCAGGACAGGTCAGGACCGCTGTCTGTCTCTTGTTTCCATCATTGTGTGAGTGACCTGAGTGATTCGATTTAATATTGAAATCCACCCCTAGTAAAGTTATTTTATGTGCAGAAGTATTTGCTTGGTGATGAGTGGTGCAGGAATGAGTCATAAACCCAGGAATTTGTTAGCATTTAACCATTTCCTGTTCCCTCGTCTAAAAGTCATTGGTTTCTTGAATGTGTTTTTGGTTTAAATAAGGTCTGAGGTTAACACAAGCTGAAGAGATTTTAACGTTTTGTTCTATGACATATCAGGCCCAAAGGTGAATTCCTGAAGCTTCTACACTGAACAAAAATATAAACGCAACACTTTTGTTTTTGCTCCCATTTTTCATGAGATGAACTCAAAGATCTAAAACATTTTCTACATACACAAAATAACCATTTCTCTCAAATATTGTTCACAAATCTGAAAAGATCTGTGATAGTGAGCACTTCTCTTTTGGCGAGATAATCCATCCCACCTCACAGGTGTGGCATATCAAGATGCTGATTAGACAGCATGATTATTGCACAGGTGTGCCTTAGGCTGGCCACAACAAAAGGTCACTCTGAAATGCGCAGTTTTGCTTTATTGGGGGGGTCTGGGGGGGTCCGAAAACCAGTCAGTATCTGGTGTGAGGGGTAGGATTAGGGTTAGGGGTAGGGTTAGGGTTAGGGTAATGTTGTGAATTGAGTGGCCCATGGTGGTGGTGGGGTTATGGTATGGGCAGGCGTATGTTATGGACGACGAACACAGGTCACTCGATGGTATTTTATACCTGTTTACTTTATTCTCTTGTTTTTTTATAATAACTATAATGATCATATAAAGATGTGCCTTTACCTCACTGGTTGGAGAAAAAGCTTCTTATATTCGTTAGCATATCTAGCTAACCAGATGCTAATAACAACAAAGTTATTGACTGTAATGATCAGTATGACAGATGAACAGATCGCCACTGGGCTTTCAACTAAAGACACAGCCAGGCAGAAACTGCGGCATGTGTACGGCTCCTTATGGGGACTGCTTGGAAGTTCTGGAGCGACGTTCTGGTGTTCTCCGTCAGCACTGCACCCCTGTCAGACGAGACATGTACCACGTGATGACACGTTAGGCTCGTGTTGTGTTCAAGGACCCTGACCTTGGCCAGGAAAAACAGGCACTCGCTTTGTTTAATTTGTTTGCGGTCTAGATTTCTTTAATTTTTTTCTTTTTTGCGTGTGTTTATAAATTACCTCGAGGGCCATACCTAATGGTCTCGCGGGCCGTATACGGCCCGGGAGCCGGAGGTTCACCACCCCTGCTTTATAGCCCAACATTAGCCACCGCTTAGCGCTGGTGGCATGAAGTCATGTGACCGTGCTGTAGTTCCTTTATAGCCCAATGTTAGCCGCCTTTAGCTTAGCGGTGGTGACGTGAAGTCATGTGACCGGCGTGCTGTAGTTCTTTTATAGCCCAACATTAGCCGCCTTTAGCTTAGCGGTGCACACGTGAAGTCATGTGACTGTGCTGTAGTTCCTTTATAGCCCAACATAGCCACCTTTAGCTTAGCGCTGGTGACATGAAGTCATGTGACCGTGCTGTAGTTCCTTAATATCAGTAGCTTTTTACTTAAAAAATTATAAAAGCAGTGCTAATGTGTGGAAATTATCCTGCTGTACAAAACAAAAGTATCATAAACGTTTGTTTCCAACAGATCCTATTTTCTGAAATAATCAAAAATCAAAAGTTAAAATCCATTTGGCTTTTTGTCAAAGAAACGCTGGAGATGCTAACCTTCAGTTAGGCCGTCATGAATACATCCTCCCTGCACCATATTATTCTGTTTACCTTCCTTTTGGATGAGAACTGAATGCGGAATATTTGTTGAATGGAAGGTGTTGAAGTGTACGTGTGAGTATACAGTATAGTGTCACCTCTCTGTCTCCTCTCAGATGTGGTGGCAGTGAAGAGTCTGGTCGGTGCGAGGCCTCGCTGGGCGGAGGAGCACCGGCTGAGGCAGTGGCTGAGCGGACGAGGGAGAACAGGAGGAGGACGGGAGATTTTCACGGTGCAGTGTGAGGATGGACGCCTCAGCGTGAGCGTAGACCAACACATCCTGCAGGTCTTCATACCTCAGTATCAGATCCAGTGTTTGATGTACACAGTTATTAAAGGTCACCTATTATGCAAAATCCACTTCTTCATGTCTCTTCTACATCAACATGTGTCCCCTCTTCTTCATGTCTCTTCTACATCAACATGTGTCCCCTCTTCTCCATGTCTCTTCTACATCAACATATGTCCCCTCTTCTTCATGTCTCCTCTACATCAACATATGTCCCCTCTTCTTCATGTCTCCTCTACATCAACATGTGTCCCCTCTTCTTCATGTCTCTTCTTCATCAACATGTGTCCCCTCTTCTTCATGTCTCTTCTACATCAACATGTGTCCCCTCTTCTTCATGTCTCTTCTACATCAACATGTGTCCCCTCTTCTTCATGTCTCTTCTACATCAACATGTGTCCCCTCTTCTTCATGTCTCTTCTACATCAACATGTGTCCCCTCTTCTTCATGTCTCTTCTACATCAACATATGTCCCCTCTTCTTCATGTCTCCTCTACATCAACATGTGTCCCCTCTTCTTCATGTCTCTTCTTCATCAACATGTGTCCCCTCTTCTTCATGTCTCTTCTACATCAACATGTGTCCCCTCTTCTTCATGTCTCTTCTACATCAACATGTGTCCCCTCTTCTTCATGTCTCTTCTACATCAACATGTGTCCCCTCTTCTTCATGTCTCTTTTACATCAACATGTGTCCCCTCTTCTTCATGTCTCTTCTACATCAACATGTGTCCCCTCTTCTTCATGTCTCTTCTACATCAACATGTGTCCCCTCTTCTTCATGTCTCTTCTACATCAGCATGTGTCCCCTCTTCTTCATGTCTCTTCTACATCAACATGTGTCCCCTCTGTGGAAAGAGACTCTGAAAGTTTCAGGAACAAAGATTCTCTCTCTTTTTGTCCTGATCCATTTCTATAAAAACCTGTCTGAAAATGAGCTGATCAGATTTTGGCCACTTTATGATGTCATAACGATGTGTTGTCTTGTGTAACTATTAGCCAATCAGCAACCAAGGTAACCCCCCCCCCACCTTATCACCTGAATCTCCTCCGAGAGCACCATTGAGTTCTTTGTAACCAAATCTCTCTCAGAGGGGCGTGGGGAGGGGCTCCTTATTTTCATCTAAAGTAACAGACAGAGAATCAGCACTTTTGAAACAGGGCTGAAACAGAGGGGATTATGGGTAATGCTGCAATGATCTGTTTGGTGTTTCAGCCAATCAGAGACAGGTTCTGTATATATCTGAGACCTATAATATATTGATGAAAAACAGTAGAATAGGGGACCTTTTAAAGACAGAAACTGGCTACCACAAATTAAGCTATCCAGTGGTTTCATAACAACCATAGTGCAAAAATATGAATAATTTTTTGAGAGTAACATTTTGTAATCTTGTACTTAAATCATATGTAAAGTTTTCTAACCAATATTTCTCATACTAACAATCAATCAAATGCCTACCCACCCTACCTTGAAGTACATTTTAGCACTAGGGAGCGTTTTAGTGTCTATTAACTCATTGGTTTTCATTTGATTTACAATTTTGGTTAACATTCAATATACAATCACCAACCTTGTTACCAGCGAGCTGCAGCATTAAGGGATGGGAAGGGAAGCCAAAAGGAAGAGCCAAAAACTGCAAAAGGCCCAACTTTTCCACACAAGTAAACTGGCTTGTTAGTTTGCTTGTTGTACGAAAAGACTCTCCAAGGAGTCAGCTGTTTTTTCCAGTTATTAAGCCTATAACCAAACAAGTCTATTTTTCACAAGCCAAAATTAGCATCATCTCACTTGAACTAAAGATGCATCTGCAAACTAAGCTAGCTAGGTAGGTCTAGCATTAGTTTGTAACTACGTTTGTTATAACACCTCCACTAATGCACTGAAAACAGCTACTTTAAATAGAGAAATACACAAATTGAGAATCAGCATTGTTAAAATGGTAATTTTTAGCACTAGTAGTTATTGTTAAACTTGAGAAAGGAGGTGAAATGTGCAGGGGCTCGCCTAAAGGTCGACACACCGGGCCGATTTCGGCCGTCGATGAGCGTTGTGTCGCCCTACTCAGATTGGTGTGTCCCGCAACGTCGTGTCTTTTCGGCCGTGCCGACACCTTTTTGTCCGAAAACCAAATCACTCTGATTGGCGGTTCAGCTAGCAAATCAGAGCATGAGAAGCGAAACGGAAGTGAGGGACCCAAACAAACGATTAAGAAGGCACACACAGACAGCTATTATTTTTCATTTTCATCTCAGCTGGATGCAAGAGTTTATTTTTCATCATAGTGATCTGGGGCCTCATTTATAAAGGGATATACGCTAAAAAAAAATGGCGTACGCCAGTTTCTACGCAATGTTTGCGATTTATAAAATACTAACTTGACGGGAAAATGTGCGGTCCTCCACGCAAACTCTAACCCATGCGTACGCACTAAGCACAAAAACGGGAGAGACGAGAAACTGCGACACCGCGTTGGCAGAAGGAAGAATGGAGAGAAATATGTGGAAATAATACCATAAACAAAATGTTACCTCTCATTTATCATATAAGAAGAATTCATTTTCAAACATTGATTAAAACCAATCTTAAAATAATTAAACAAACGCCTGTTTGAGACTCCTCAGTGCACACAAAAACATAACTTGGAGAAATAAATAAATACGGATATGTTATTTAAAACCACCTCGAAATGTTGTGTTAATGTTATGAAATGTTTTCTCATAAATGATGCGGTAAGCAGGAAGACAGAATTACTTTAAACTGACGCCGTGTTGCATTCCTATAGGTTGTAGATACGAGCATGGTTTTATATACTATCACGTTTAATCGTGTTTTATGCCGTTTGCCAAGACTTGATAAGTCGCTCGTAAAACACAGGAAGTATGGAAGCTAAGAACACCATATGTAGTAAATTGTACAGCTGATATAACACAACACATTGGTCGTATTTCCTTTAACTGGTGGATATAGGGTTGCTGGGGGGAGGGGGGGGGAGTTGAAACACACAGGCTGAAGTGGAGACGCTGCGCACAGCTGATCGACAGCTGGAACACAAACCACCAAATACATTCAGATCCAGTCGTCATGACTCCACTCCGGAGGGATTCCCCGATCACTTCTTACAGTTTCTCATCAGGGGGTGTCTCCTGTCCCCGGTACAAACACACTGCCTGAGGAAGGCTATGTGTATTGTTTTTGTCATTAACCTTTTTCGGGCCACTTATTTATTTATTTTGGTGACGATCCGACCTCCATGCTGCTACTCTGGTTCAAACTGCATCCACCAAACAATATGATTTATCTCCACCTCCCCAAAATAACCAAAATCTGACACGGTGTGAGATGTCTTTTTTAACTGTTCTGTCGTCATTTCCTGCGATCTTCTTCATAAAGTCAGTCAGAATGAATGAATGAATGGGCGTTTCTTTGACTATTTATAGGCAAATATGGGCGTTACGTGAAGCCCGCAAAAGCGGCACCGCATTTCGAGTCGGTTGTGATTGATAAAGGGAAACCGGCGTAGGAAGTGCTGTACGCACTTTCCTTGCCGGTGCGCAATGTTTGGTGAATCGGAAAATGTCGGTACCTATTTTTTGGATTTCTACAACGTAAGCAACCTTCCCACGTGAATCCTACGCACGGCATTATAAATGAGGCCCCTGGAATGAATAAACCGAAGACCAACGCACACGCTATTTGTTGTTTGTTTATATCACGCAGTCTGTTCTTCTTATCTCGGTGTATCACGCAGTATGTGGCCGTTTCTCAATCTCGAGGATGCTGGCTTGGTAGTCGCGTACTTCCAAGTCACTTCCTTCAGAAACAAAGCAAGTATACTTCCAAGCCACGGCTTCGGAAAACGAAGAAGAATGTAACAGGCTAACAAGTGTGCCACTCTCTCTAACGGTTTCAACATAAACTGTACCGAAAATAAATACCTCACGATGTCTATCTAATTATGAAGTTGCTTTAACTTTCACGGAACACATTTATGGTGATAACAAACAAATGTAACAAATGTACCAACACTACACGTTTTCTACGCCACAACATACTTACATTTAAATGTGTGCTGCGTCGGTTCAGCCATTCTCCGCAAGGGTTTTTGAAATTGGTCCGTGCGCAAAGCATTGTGGGGATTTTAAGGACGCGAAGTCTACCCATGTGCAGCCTCGAAATTTCCCCCAAACCAAGGACGCGGCCTCGGTGGAATTCCAATTATGCTGGAGATTGGAACAGTCCTTCGGCGGCACTCGATGACGTAGTATCCTTGAAATATTGGCTTGGAAGCCAGTATCCTCGAGATTGAGAAACGGCCTGTCTTCCGGTTGTTGCCTCTTTTGAATGACGAATACACGCTACCGCCGCCTGCTGGTAAGGAGAGTTATTGCCACTCACGCATGTGCAGTTTGTACGTGCTACTTGGCCGTCGGCTGAAGTCTTTGCGGTGTGTTCCAGTGCGACTGTTGGCCAAGACGCAGGAGATGTGAGGCGACACAACAATCGTGTTTCGTCGGGACGTGTTCTTGGGTGTCAGTTTGGTGTGTCTGGGCCTTAATGCTGATATATTTTCTGGAACTGCCAGTGTTTTTTAGTTAGAAATCTACAAGTTTAAACCAAAGTTGGGTTATTTAATATAGAGGTAAAGTATTTAACAAAATCTATTTCAGATGAAAGGACAGAGTCTTGCACTGTAGCACAAAATCTGACAAGGTTACAGCAGAAAAGCAATCACTTTATACAGGAAAAGACACAGGAAAAGGGAAGGTCTCAGCCAATCAAATTTTACATTACAGGCTATTCAAATGCTGGCTAGATGAGGTAACAATGCATATATGGTGATTCATTACAGGGTATTGAACATTGGTGGCTAAACAGGGGGTTAAGTATAGACATGTTAATTATAACAGGTAACATCCGTATGATAATTTGCCTGATAATGGTCGAGGTGACACCCTGTCTGTGGAAAGCTTGAGAACATTTAGTAGAAAATCAAAGTTATAGTGACCTATTTTTAATTAAAGGAGACTTATGATGATATTCGTTTGTAAGTTATGTCATCTAACATCACTTCTCCTTTTCAGGGTGTGTCTGACCCTGTGGTCGCTGTGACTCTACGAGACTCTGCATGCCAGGGTCAGTCTAACGGCAGCCACTTCCTGTTGGTGTTTCCGGTCATTTCCTGCGGGACTGAGGGTGTGTTCACAAAAAAGCCTCGAGGGGTGCAGTACAAAAACATGGTGAGAAGAAACATAATTTATAACTCTCTATAACAAATACATCTATCTATCTATCTATCTATCTATCTATCTATCTATCTATCTATCTATCTATCTATCTATCTATCTATCTATCTATCTATCTATCTATCTATCTATCTATCTATCTATCTATCTATCTATCTATCTATCTATCTATCTATCTATCTATCTATCTATCTATCTATCTATCTATCTACCTACCTACCTACCTACCTACCTTCAGAGACACAGAAGTTTAATATATGTTTTATTGGTAGTCTAATAAAGCCTAAATTAAATATATTTTCATTACATAAACAGATCTTTTATGAGGCGGTTCGAGAAAGAGAAGACATCAGTAACAGAAACAAGGCCACATTTTCACATAATAAGTCACATAATGGACGCTTAAAGTGGTGGTAAGTGGAAGTTTCCCGCTGTGAGACTCATGACCCAGGTCACTATGACCAGGAACAGTAGGGCGTCAAAGCCCAACAATGGGAAGATGCACCTGGGCAAATTAAGTGAGAGAAAATCTCGGTTTTCTAAGCAGGAAATTGGAATTGCTAAGTGATTTTAGAAAAGTAAATAGACAAAACACAGTGGCAGAAGGTGTATGTAATGAACCACTTTAACAAATGTAAAAATGTATTATACTTTCCTCTATCTTGCTTTTGAGAACTCTTGCGAGAATTGCAGTAGTCCAAAGGCAATGAATTGTATTTATTTATTTGTATTGCATGTTACTTGTTAGACGCTTTTATCCAAAGCGACTTACATACTCAATACTGTGGGCAATCCCCTCAGGAGCATTTTGTGGTGAAGTGTCTCAGGGACACAACGACATGCTGACTGCAGTGGGGTTTGAACCTGTGACCCCCTGATCCAAACACATACGCACATCCACTGCGCCACACGCCTCCAATTTCTTTATTCCACACATGGCAGTTATTTTAAAACAAAACATGTACACTTTACACAGATGTTTGTGTTGTTGCCCAAGGTGGAAAGGAGCAGGGAGAAGAACATCTTATTTGACCTGCCCCTAATTAAAAAAATACCAAAAAAATGAAATAACAATAAATAGCCACAGGCTCAAGATTTATAGAAGAACTGCCAAAGTTGGTTTTATACGAATAATCCGAATAAGGGTTAGGGTTCGGTATAGGGATGAAAATGAGTCAAAACCATAGGGTCAGAACCTATGGTCAGAACTCACTGAGGAAACTAATTTGCATATTGTCGTGTGTTAGGATCATCAGTGAGTCTCAGGGGGGGCAGCGGTAGGACTTAGGCCTCAAAAAGCCATATTTGACAGGTTACAAATCTGGAACTTTTCGTATATTTGCTGAGTGTTGGCCCAATCTTTTCGAATGGGCCAGGAGAAAAAACAGGAGTGTTGGGAAGGTGGTTAACGACAGTGACACAATTTATTTAATCTAATCTGCTACTACTACAAACAGCTGGGTGTCATCTGCATAGAAATTAGGATTCATATTATTCAGTTAATTGTTCTGTCTCCCTCTTCTCTGTTCAGGTGTTATTATGGAGGGCCGATCGTCAGTCCATTCTCACACTCAATGAGACAGAACTGAAGTCCAATATTCCCCTCAGCATACCTGTGAGTTATCTGTACATATGTGTCTTTATTCTTGTACAATAAATGAATAAGACTGCTAAACACCTTAGCTCTGTTAAGTGCCTCCATAAGCATTCGTCTGTTGTCATTTTGATTATCTAAATAGTTACCATTGTAATAAACAGTATTTAATATCATCTTACTGTGCAGTATTTAATTTTTGTTTATATCATATTCTATTTACGTGTATATAAACTTTTTGCACTATTTTGTATTTGTATTTTAATATATAACTGTGTTGCATTGTTGGAGCTGCTCGGGTCATAAGATTCTCATTGCCATTCCTACACTGTAGTTTATGTGTATATGACATTAAAACCTTTGAATCTTGTATCTAAATCGTATCCTTTACTTGTGGTATTTTCACATTTATCTTGTCATTTTCTTAAATTCTCAGATATGTTTGTTGTTTTTACATTATCATTCCTGTTTCTTGATTTGTGAAGCCCTCTGAGACAAATGTGTTTTGTGATATTGAGCTATATGAATACATTTTTAATTGAATTGAATTATAACCTCCTGTTTGTCCTCTCAGTTCAGCTGTCTGGCGGGAGTTCCCCCCCTCCTCAGATCTGTTAGTGTGGATAATGTTAACTCTCCGGAGAAAAATCCTGTCCCATGGGCAACTGAGGGTCCGGGTTCTGATCCAGGACTGAGCAACTTACCAACTCAACCCAGAAACAAATCCTGGCCTGTTCTCATTTTGAAGCTTTTTGTCACCGAGAGCTACGAACAAAGGCGAATCGGCCCCTGTGTCATAACTGCAGACCAACGTGTCTATGTGGAGGTCTGTATGTGTGCGTTGTATATCACATAACATTAGGAATGAGTTTCTATTATTTGATTCCCTAAATCAGGGGTGTCAAACTCAAATACACAGTGGGCCAAAATTAAAAAATGGGTACTAGTTGAGGGCCGGACTGGTTCAATGTTTATTGCAGAACTTATTGAAATGAACTTATTGCACATATTAAACCTGGAACTAACAAAGCTTAAATGATTGCCTATAAAAACAACATTAAGCATTAAATAATCAGTTGCATTCATTTCTTATGGCTCTATCTGCAGCTTTTCCAGAGTCATTTCTTATTATTACATTTTTCCACAGGCCAACAACAGCTTAAACAAAACTATTTCCCTCAAAGAGAAAACCAAACATGCCCTGTTATCGTGAGAGAAAGTGCAGAAGGAAACATCAATTTAAACTCAGTGTGCTGCTCTGTGAAGCTAGTTCAGATACTTGGCATCTCATCTTGGGTGCAAGGTCATCAATGTTTGGGCTCAGGCTCTGAGCTGAGGAGACCCTCAGGATGGAGTGAAGGTGTGCGTGCAATATACCGGCGGGCCAGATCTAATAGTAATTACAAATTATCCTGCGGGCCGAAATTAAATCCACCACGGGCCTGATTTGGCCCCCGGGCCTTGAGTTTGACATATGTGCCCTAAATAAACATCTTGATCGTATCTAGTAGTAGAATCTAAGCATTTAGTCCATTACCAGGAAAAACAGGAACAACTTTATTGAACATCACTTGAACCAACGGTGCGAACTTTCTTTTGATTAGTTGTAGATGTCTGTTTTGTCAATATTGTTGTAGAATTAAGCCATGAAGAAGCCATGCCTTACATAGCTTTGGATATCTCAACTAATCAACGCTATCTAGTCTTTTTTAGTTTAACTCATCAGAAAACGTAAAGCTTCAACTCTTTGATCCATTTCATGTCAGTATTCATGCCCAACTACTATGTGTCTTATTCGCTGCTGATTTGTTATCCATCTCTACTACAGATTTCAGCCAAAGGGTCCTTCATAGAAGTTGTGGAGGTGAAGTCGTGTGCCGTCTCTCCTCTGTCAGACTCAAAAAAGTCTCCTTTCTGGAGCATCATAAGCGACGGCTGTTCCTCGGACCAATCACTGACCCTCACTGCAAAAACGAAAGATGAAGATGGAGAACTGGAAGAGGAAAATGAAGAGATAGATGGACCGGGAAAAGGGCGAAATGGAGAGGTCCAACAACAACAACTTAAAGTTAACAGAAGAGGGAGAGAAGAACCAGAACCGATAGAAAAGAAGAAAGCAATGAGAGAGGAGATACAACCCCTGAGATTTAGCTTCATCCTGAGACCAGTTTATAATAACTCTGTTCAGTTCCTCCACTGCAGCCTTCTTCTGTGTACCTCCGAGTCAAAAAGAGGGGAATCGACAAAGGAGACAGGAAATAATGACTGTGAGGATGAACAACGTATTCCTCCACTTGTGTCTAGATCAACCCGACATCAGGTACACAAACATTTACACAATACAGCTATTTGTACAAAACAAGTGAAGAATGGAGTATCCTGTGAAATGCATCATGGGAATAGTGGGAAATCAACAATGGTTTGATGAGAAGATAGATATCACTCTCTTGCGTGATTGCTAAAAACTAAAACAACTAGCTGCAGAGGTTTAAAGTAACTAAAAACATTTACTCAAGTACGGTACTTAAGTACAATTTTGAGTTACTTCTACTTTACCTGAAAACTTCAATGTGTTGCTACTTTGTACTTCTAACCCACTTCAATAATTGTGTACCTTTTAGTTACTTACTTACTACTTTACAGATCTGGATGAATGATGTGAAATATAATCAAGTGTTGAATCAGACTTTAGTTCCACCTGGAGTAAATTCACAAGCTACCCTGCAGTATACAAAGTCCTTCAAACTAGCTGCACCTTTACCAGCTTTGAGAACACTTTCATGATCAATCATTATAAAACATATCATATATATTATTCTGAAATGGACCAATCTGCACAATGACTACTTTTACTGTCGCTACTTTCACTATATTTTGATGGGAATACTTTTCTACTTTTACTTGAGGAACATTTTGAATGCAGGACTTTTACTGTGACAGAGTATTCCTACACTCTGGTACTTCTACTTTTACTCAAGTACAAGATCTGAGTACTTCTACTTTTACTCAAGTACAAGATCTGAGTACTTCTACTTTTACTCAAGTACAAGACCTGAGTACTTCTACTTTAACTCAAGTACAAGATCTGAGTACTTCTACTTTTACTCAAGTACAATATCTGAGTACTTCTACTTTTACTCAACTACAAGATCTGAGTACTTCTACTTTTACTCAAGTACAAGACCTGAGTACTTCTACTTTAACTCAAGTACAAGATCTGAGTACTTCTACTTTTACTCAAGTACAACATCTGAGTACTTCTACTTTTACTCAAGTACAAGACCTGAGTACTTCTACTTTTACTCAAGTACAAGACCTGAGTACTTCTACTTTAACTCAAGTACAAGATCTGAGTACTTCTACTTTTACTCAAGTACAACATCTGAGTACTTCTACTTTTACTCAAGTACAAGACCTGAGTACTTCTCCCACCTCTGACTAGCAGACAGTTAGCTTAATTTAGCTTATCATAAAGTCTGATAAGGCGACGTTTGGCTAATCCAAGCTAACCAACTGCTACAATACAAACAATAACAGATTACTGAATTTCCAAATCGACCGATCAGAATTAAGTTGAGGCTTTGTAACACTGTTATCCTGCTGGTGGCATAGCACTGCAAACCATGTAAATAACACAAAGGCCTTCTCCTTCTCCTCAGTGTGAGATCAGAAACCTCTCCAGGCCGATGGTGGTCACCGTGCCCATCAGCTCACTGGCACCCAAAGCTCTGCATCCTCCTGCTGGACCAACATCCAAGAGACTGAGTGTTTCCCCAATGACCAGTCCAGACCCCGAGCACAGCAGTGAGTATGTTAGAACAGGGATGTCCAAACTACGGCCCGGGGGACAAATGCGGCACGCGGACCATTTTGAATCGGCCCTCAGCAAATCCAAAAAGTATAATGTAATATGGCCCACAAATGAAACTTGTGCTTGTCTTATATTGTACTTCTTAAATATAAATGTAAAAATATATTACACAGTAGTATTCATGTGTTAGAAAGACCACTTTTCAAATAAATTCAGTCAATTAAAGTTGGAAACATTTTCCAATGACTTATTTACATAACAAGCTTGAAATATACGCTTCATATTTTTCCTTATGATAATCAATCTGAGGCTTTTGTTTTAAGGGATGAGCTGCCAACACTCACAAGAATAATTTACCTACATTCGATTGATTTTGCTAACTTATAACTGAACTTATGAGGCAATATACCTCTAGTGAGCGGCCCAGCCCTTCATATATACTTCTGTATGTGGCCCTCGGTGAAAAAAGTTTGGTACCCCTAAAATAACTGTTGCTCTGTCTCAATTCAGATACTTTCCTACAGTAAGTACACTGCCATGAAAATTGACGATTGGCGCTGTTAGCTAGCCAGTAAAGGGTATGTTCGTGTTCGTCGCAAATCATTACAGACTGCCCATCAACCCAATAAGGTTAATGGTAGCTTCTTTACGCCAAGAGTAGCTACAGTGTAGATAATGAAAAACTGAAGTCACAGGCTCTTCCAACAGTGCAACATGAATATATATAGGACATAAAACAAATAAACCGGATAAAAAAGTGCAAGAGAATGATTTGAGATCTGCAAGTAAATACAAATAAAATATAAATAGTGCAGTCTAGTGCTGCTCAACTTTTTGTCCGTTATGAGAGCACCATTCAGGTACTGATTGTGCATTTAGCCATGTGTTGCATTGGGACGCTCTTATGCACTGAACACAGCAAATGTAAGTACAAGAATACGCAGATTTAGACCAAGCACAAGTCTATTTTCCATCGGTATTGTGGGTTTTCCTTTTGATTTGATTTGTGTCTCCAGGCTTGGCAGAACAGACAGGAATGTTGATGGGCGTCGTCGTCATTGCCTTTGTGATGGGGGTCAGTCTGATGGGGGGCGTTTGGTGCATCTATAAGTACACAGGTAATAAGAGCAGCTTCCTCTTGTCACTCAAAAACGTTGTCAAATTATATGTGTGTCCTTATTCCTGTGTCATACAATTGAATTGGACTAATCAAAAGCATCAAGAAATCCTTTTAAATCAATGTCACTGCTGTTGATCATGAGTAATCTGATATATTTACTCTGTTATTTTCTATCTGTGGATTATTAAGAGACTATGTAATGATATATTTTAAAGGGGCACGGCCAGCATCACCTGGAAGAGAAAGTCACTTAACAGCCAACACTCGAGAAGGCCACACCATCTATAATCTACTGTCAGCAGCTGATCAGCCCTCCAGCTCTGTGTAGAGGTAAGATCTGATGAGGACGGGTATTTAACTCAATCCTATTTTATACCCCAAAGTCTGTTAATACGTGTTATTCTTTATTTATTTGGGGTCACATTATATTAAATGTACAGTTTTGCAAATCATATATTTCTAGAGACCCGAAAATGTCAAATTAAATAAAAACGAAAAAGTACATTGGGGTTGTTTGAAATGACAAATATCTACACATGTATCTACTTAAACATATATCTTAATATGTTTTTAGTCTAACGTATTGAATATTTGTGGCACAGGGAGTGAAAAAGTAAAAATAAATCTGGGGCTTGGACTTGACGCTCTGTTAGCCGCTACTAGCATAACACACCTGAATCTCCGACTGGGCTTTCACAGACACGTTGCATTATGGGTAGCCAGAATTTTGACACGGAGGAAGAATGCATTGGAAAATAAGTCGTCTCCGGTTTTGTGGCGTCGATTATGCAACAATAAACACTGTCCATCAGTCAGGAGTAGATCACAATCTCTGTTGTTTAAATTAGACAAGCCTAAATTACTCGAGAAGGTAACTTAATTTCAAAGTTGTTGTTAAAATAAACTGTAGATGTTAGAAACATTGGCAGTTCAAGATCCAGGAGATATATCAGAACTAGGGGAGCACCTGCAGATTTCACCTCCAACGATTTTGTTCTTTTATCTCTTCCTCAGGATTTCCTGCAAATCTGAGAACTGGGACAGAGGTTTCTGTGTGTGTGTGTGTGTGTGTGTGTGTGTGTGTGTGTGTGTGTGTGTGTGTGTGTGTGTGTGTGTGTGTGTGTGTGTGTGTGTGTGTGTGTGTGTGTGTGTGTGTGTGTGTGTGTGTGTGTGTGTGTGTGTGTGTGTGTGTGTGTGTGTGTGTGTGTGTGTGTGTGTGTGTGTGTGTGTGTGTGATGTTGTGAGCCATTCTGCATCAAGTCATTTCAAAAGTTGCAGCGGACATTTATCTGGATTCAACAACATCTCACCTTTGAGTGACTTGAACAGAAACTTCATCATCACCGCCTTTTAGAGACGAAACACAAGGTCAGCGAGGCAAAGCTGCAGGACTGAGACGTCACTTTGTGTTCGTTGAGTTGGTGTTTGTTAGAAAAATATCACTAGTCACATACAGAGCATCAACTAGTTCCTGAGCAGTGTCCTTCACATGCTGATATCCAAGAGAGGGAGTTACACAGTCACAAGATGGAGGAATAGAAAGCAGTATTCAATGTTTAGTTCAGATTAGCTCCACGTCAGAAATGAGCATGCTTGTCATACGTCTCTCCATAGAGGCTGAATCATCATGTTAATCACATAGCTATCATATGCCTCAAACAGTCCTGATGCTCTTCTAGGTAATCACACATCCTGTCATGTTCACAGCTACAGTTGGGGTATACCTTTGTTATCATGTTACTCTCATATTGACAGAGGACATTCAGTGTTTTCCCAACAGTGTTTATACCGTCATCCTCACTATTCGTGTTGTAACTGTGAATCAAATGGAAACTGCGTTTAGTTGTCTGTGAATTATGTTGTGTTTTTGTGGCAAACAAGATGAATTAAACGAGCTGAAACCCATGCTGACTAGTTTTGTTTTACCTTCAAATCGCATGCATCTCATATAAAACTGGAACGGCACATGTTAAGGAAAAGGAAAGATAATTTAATGTGATATGAATCCACCTCAAACATTGAATGGGATCTTCCTTGGCCAATGCTACATCTTTCCACCAATTTCTTAAGAAAATCGGGCCAATATTCTTTCCATTATTCCACTGACAAACAGTCAAACAAACTTAAAACTTAACCTCCTTGGCCGTTAAGAAAGTGAATATGTTGGGAATACTGTAAAATATATTATTTGTGACCACAAAGCTGACATACATGCATTACACTAACATTTTGAAGTTAAAGTGCAATAATCACTCTTGTTTTTGCTCTGTTTTGGTCTCTACCAACTCCCGAAAAATACACTTAGCAGTTAAATGCTCCACAATGTTCTCCAGCTAATTGCTTAAAATGATTATGGATTCTTTCTTGGTCCATGTTACACCCTTCAACCAATTTTACAGAAAATCGTTTTTCCGTAATCCTACTGACAAACAGTCAAACAAACCCAAACACTTAACCACCTCGACTATGAAGGAAGATAATAGGTAAACAATACTGTAGAATATATTATTTGTGAACATAAGGCTGACATTAATGCATCTTACACTAACATGTCGAAGTTAAAGTGCAATTATCACTCAGGTTTTTGCTCCGATTTGGTCTCTACCAACTCCTTAAAAAAAACCTTAGCTGCTAAATGCTCCCAATGTTCTTCAGCCAATCTCTCGAAATTGTAATTTTTTCCTTGGTCAATGCTACACCCTTCCACCAACTTTCCCGAAAATCGTTCTTGTAATTTTTCCATAATCCAAGTTAAAACACTTAACCACCTTGGCTATTAAGAAAGTGAATATGTTGGAAATACTGCAGAAATATACTGTAAAAAATATTATTTGTGAATATTAGGTTGACATTAATGCATCTTACACTAAAATGTTTGTGGTTTAAGTGCAATATTTACTGTTGTTTTGGTCTCTACCAATGCTCCCCAATGTTCCTCAGCCATCTCTGGTCATTATAATGGCTTCTTCCTTGGTCCATGCACTCCTCCACCAATTTTCAAGAAAATCGTCTCAGTAATTGTTCCGTAATCCTGCTGACAAACAAGCTAAACACGAACTTCCTTGGCTATTAAGGAAGTTAACATGTTGCTAATAAGTACATTATATTATTATATATCATAAGTGAACTCAAAGCTGATATACATGCATCGTACACTAAAATGTTGAAGTTACTCTTTTCGTTTTGGTCCCTACCAACTGCTGAAAAGAATCCTCTTAGCTTCTAAACACTGCCCAATGTTCTCAAGCTAATTGCCATCTTTGTTTTTCTGCAGTTTGGTGTTGGGCGTGGAGTGGAAAGTTAATTCAATGTCTTTCCATTTTGCCCTAAAACTCCCTAATGAGTGCAGTAAGTGGGACCAAATCATAGAGGGCATCCAAACCATTAGGGCCTCTGAGTTGTGTTCTCTGTAAGGTCATACATTTGAGCTAACCCTTTCACATCACAAAAGTCTTATGATTGCATAGTTTCAACATGTTGTTGATTTTAATGTAACAACTACCCGGTGTGCTGTTGAAATGGTACTGACATTTTTTTTTTTTTTACTTTTAGAAAGTATTTTCCACATCAACCTTCTGTTCATGAAGTAGTGAAAGTGCATCCTGTGATTTGATCATCCATCAAAATAACACACATGCACACAAACTGCACATTCGCACAACTCTCTGAGAAACAAAGTTATTTGATTGGACGAGGGTCCTGTAAAAGCACTGTTTTTTGGTGCATTCTGCAAAATACAATGACCCAAATTGTTTTAATGAGAGATAATGGATACAAAGTGGTGGTGAAAGCAAGAAGCTTTGGTCACAGCATCATCCTGTCTCTCAAATGCTTTGGAGGAGGTTCAACACTGGCTGAACAACATTTGCTTACTGGTAAATGGAAAACAAACTGTATGCATGATGTTCAGTAAACGACCAGTGTTGAGATCTTCATAGTATGTTGAATATTTAAAACGAAAGTTAATTATAATCAAGTATAATCAATTATATTCTTGTATAACTCACAATAAAAATGCTTCATATTTTATGATTTTCTATATTTACAGTATTAACAAAACACAAGCGGTTTGTTAAGTTGAGTGTGTAAGGCTTGTAGTGATTTATGGGTTTCACTGATAAGGGAGAGACAGTTTCTTCCCTCACAGCAGTACACAGGGGGGGGGGGGTTCCCCTGGTATACTCTCTCCCGGTAAAAAGCTGGGTTGTTGCTCTCGGTACGGTTCTCTCGAGCTGAGTAACTATTGCTTAAATCTCTTGTGTATTGAATGCTGAGGAAATGGTTTAGATGAAAGTTTTGAACAGACTTTTTAGACCAAAACATTCTTTAAATGTGATGGACTTTTTAGACCAAAACATTCTTTAAATGTGATGGACTTTTTAGACCAAAACATTCTTTAAATGTGATGGACTTCTTGGACCAAAACATTCTTTCTTACCATTTTTATGCAGATGACACTGTTATTTATTGTTCCTCCGCTTCTATAGAGCAAAGTCTAGATTTCCTCCAGTCTGCCTTTGATGTCATACAAACCCATTTATATCAACTAAAGTTGGTATTAAATGCTGAAAAATCCAAAGTGATGATATTTTCGAATGATAAAAAGTCTATTCTACCCAAGATTTGTACTGCACAAGGGACTGACATTGAGAGGGTCACTCCTCACAAATATCTGGGATTTCTTATTGAACAGAACTTGTCTTTCAAGTTACACACGGAAAATGTTGTTTCAAAGCTAAAAATAAAATTAGGTTTCTTTTACAGGAATAAATCCTGTTTCTCTTTTCAGACAAGGAAACATTTGATATCTGCAACATTTTTACCTGTATTAGATTATGATGACCTGCTATACATGAATGCCTCTGACCAATGCCTAAAGAGCTTGGATACTGTGTACCATTGTGCCTTACGATTTATCACTGGATGTGGATATTGAGTACACCATTGCACTTTATATGCTGCTGCTAATTGGCCATCTTTGTCTGCTCGCAGACTTTCCCATTGGTTGGGTTTTATTTATAAATCTCTGCTTGGGTTGGTTCCCTCCTACATTTGCACATATATGTGTCAAAGAGAAAGTCTATATGGCCTGCGCTCCCAAGATTTTATTCAGATGCTGGTCCCTACAGTGAGAACACAACTGGGTAAAACAGCTTTTAGATATGCCAAGCTGTGGGGGACAGCTTGGAACAATGTACAGAAGGAGCTGAAACTCTCAGATTTAATCACTATGGGGGAATTCAGGTCCATCTTAAAGGACAGAGAACACGACACCATTGGTAGATGTGAGTGCTCGTATATCCTAAAATCGTTTTAAATGTTGCCAGTTTTGAATGATTTTAATAGTTTGTTTTACTTCGCATATTGACTGGCTAATGTGCCATTTTATTTGTGTTTTACAGCTGTATTTGTCTGCCTGTCATGTCTGTGTTTTTTCTGTTGTAACTTTGTACATGCTGCCCTTCTTGGCCAGGTCGCTTTTGGAAAAGAGATTTTAATCTCAATGAGTCTTTTACCTGGTTAAATAAAGGATATATACTTCTTAAACCAATCATTAATAAATGAGTTGGAATTCTTAAGCCTACCATTCTTAAATGTGTCAGGATTTTAGAACTAATTAGAGAATCTTCGCCACCACGAGGAAATTCCTTTTGAATTACGTCGGAAGACATTAATGGGTAAACTGTGAATTAAGGTTTTAGCTTAGAACATGATCACAGCATGATATGTTTAGTATGATTATAATGTTGTAAAGAGAGAAGGTAAAAACCCTGTATTAGTTTGGACCTATTTTTCTTCAAATAAACTGATCCCACCTTTTGGATTGGGACAACTTAAAAGACATCTGCGCTCTCCTCTCCTGCTTCAAAGGTAAGATTGCACCCTGCCACACTCACACTCAGGTAGGGCCACACCTCATTTACTGATATCAAAATCCTTCGGGATCGCTTAAACAGATTTAAGAGAGTTGTCTGAATTGAAACAGCAGTTAATTTAACCTGGTTCTTCGGGGAGTTAATAGAGGTGAGATCTTGCTGACTTTGGTGGATCTGAGCCAAGCAGTAAACTTACATAGACTCAATAACTTCGGTTAGGTCAATTAGTAGGTCAGAATAATTTAATTAATTAATTATCAGGACCTCACCAACTCTTACACCAGTCAACATCGAAGGATCCAATGTGTTTTTAAACGGAGCAGAATTAGAACTAGTCTCCCAGTTCAAGTATCTTGGAGTCATACTGGACTCAAACTTGACTTTTAAGAAACATATTAAGAAAGTATCCAATACCATTAAATTCAACTTGCAAAATGTTAAACAAATTAGACCTTTCTTAACTGTCAATGCTGCAAAGTCATACCTCCACTGAATGATTCTATCCCACATTGAATACTGTTTGACAAACTGGTCGTTTGCTTGTGCCACAAACCTGAAACCAATAGAACAGCTGTACAAGAGAGCTATCAAGGTGTTTGACAGAAAGCCACATTCATACCATTACTGTACCATCCTTGAGAAACACCCCCCTCCCTTAGGGGAATTCATCCACAGAAAGCACACTGGACGCTGCACAACGTCAGAAACCAGAGGAGACTGTGAGGTCCACCTTTGGACAAAATGTCCTCTCCACTAAGGGCAGCTCGTTGTGGAATAGCCTCCCAACTGAGATACGGGATTGTCCCACTCTCAAAAGTTTTAAAGGTCAACTCAAAGAATGGTTGAGAAACAAACAGATGTGCAATCACCGCTAAATGCACTTTAACACAGGGGTATCTCCTCTTGCACTTTATATAGCACTTGTATCTTCTCTTGCACTTAATGTTGTAGCTGCTACATTGTACTGCCATGTGGTTAATGCTTGTGTATGCTTCTCATGCTCTTTCTGCATATCATGTATTTAGTTTTGCTATGTTTACAAATGTCATGTTCTTATATGTTGTATGTGACGGGACTACGGATGGAAATTAGCTCAAAGCTAAAATCCGTCTCATTTAGTCTTGTAAGCATTATTTTTGTTTTAAAGTGTTCATCAATGTGCACAGTTCCGATTCAATTAAACGATTAAATTAAAATGTGTTTCCTGAAAGATGCATAATTTTATTTTTGTAAGGATGCTTCATAGATTTGAGTTAACCCAAAAAATCGAATACACAAACAATACAGCTTTAAAACTCAAAACCAAGGAGATGACGTTTGTACACAATCAATACAGTTTTATTGTCCTCTCATTTCAAAGCATGCAAGACATTACTTGAGTCATATCTTTCCGACTTTTACAATTATGAATAACTAATAATGTATTTACAAATGCCCTTTTACACACATTTTCAAGGAAATTTACAGAGTGGTGCAGGGATGATAACTTTTTGTAGACCGACCCAAAAAGATAGCATCTCCCTGGTTCCTTCGACTAGAAACCATTGGGAATTTTTCATTGGATTATTGAAGAAAATAATCTGTTGTAAACACACGTCTATGATACTGATACGTTGTGTTCAGCAGGACAATCTCCATATATTAATGCCACGCTATGATTTCTGAAGTAAAAAGCTAACATTGGGCTATAAAGGAACTACAGCACGGTCACATGACTTCCCGTCACTACTGCTAAGCTAAAGGTGGCTAATGTTGGGCTATTAAGGAACTAGAGCACGGTCACATGACTTTATGTCACCACCGCTAAGCTAAAGGCGGCTAATGTTGGGCGTGATGACGTTTAGTCGTCTCATTTAGACACTTGTTAGCAACCGCCGTTTTTAAATCCACAGGTGGGGTATTTTATGTCCAGAAACTAAACTTTGAGTCTATTTGTATTTAATTTATGTGTCTTTGTGGTTGGTTTGCCACTTTTCATAAAAGCTGTGACTTTTTTTCTTCTGTTTTGAATCACTGTAGTTGTTTTGAACACATTAAAGCTTCAGACATTCACCAGTGGAGAATTGACTGTCATTTTTTATGTCGTAAAACATACCGACACTGATCTTATTTCAGGCATCTAACCAATAACCCTTCAAGACGAGGGACTCCTAGTGCTCTGACTAATTTCCAGGTTTTAGGACTCATTCCTGCACCCAGAGGTGGGAAGTAGTGGAGTACAAATACTTTGTTACTGTATTTAAGTACATTTTTCTGGTATCAGTACTTTACTTATTTTTCTGACGACTTTGTACTTCTTACATGTTGAACACAAATACCTGTACTTTCTACTTCTTACATGTTGAACCCAAATACCTGTACTTTCTACTTCTTACATGTTGGATACAAATACCTGTACTTTCTACATGTTGAACTCAAATACCTGTACTTTCTACTTCTTACATGTTGAACCCAAATACCTGTGCTTTCTACTTCTTACATGTTGAACCCAAATACCTGTACTTTCTACTTCTTACATGTTGAACCCAAATACCTGTACTTTCTACTTCTTACATGTTGAATACAAATACCTGTACTTTCTACTTCTTACATGTTGAACACAAATACCTGTACTTTCTACTTCTTACATGTTGGATACAAATACCTGTACTTTCTACTTCTTACATTTTGAACACAAATACCTGTACTTTCTACTTCTTACATGTTGAACTCAAATACCTGTACTTTCTACTTCTTACATGTTGAACCCAAATACCTGTACTTTCTACTTCTTACATGTTGAACCTAAATACCTGTACTTTCTACTTCTTACATGTTGAACACAAATACCTGTACTTTCTACTTCTTACATGTTGAACCCAAATACCTGTACTTTCTACTTCTAACATGTTGAACACAAATACCTGTACTTTCTACTTCTCACATTTTCCAAACAGGCTGGTTCCTTTAGTTTGAATGTGTGTTTGGTGCGTGATCATTATTATTTAGAGTCATTGCGTGCCTATTGATTTGAACACGATCCGTGTATCCATCATTTCCTGGTCTTCTCTAAAGAAGAGGGACCAATGGAAACGTTGTCATGTTGCCGTTGTTCAGCATGGAAACATTAATTAGCTAACAATGACATTATTGTTCTATTAATATAAAGGGAGGTCAGGTACTCTTTAAAACAGCTGCTAGTTATGGGTACTTTTTACTGAAGCACATTTCAAAGCCCTCTTTACTTTTACTTGAGTAAAGAAGTTTAGTCAGTACTTCTACCAGAGTATTTTTAAACACGAGTATCTGTACTTCTACTTGAGTAAAGCATGTGTGTACTTTTGCCATCTCTGGTCATTCTAACCAAAAAACCTTTGACTTCAAGACGAGGGACTCCTACTGCTATAATTCTTACTAATTTCCAGGTTTTAGGACTCATTCCTGCACCACTACTGCCTGATAGACTCAGTTTTGTGTGTATGTCTCTGTGTATCCACACGGCGTCTCTCTGTGTTTCTGCAGGTCTGCCCGGCGCAGGAAGTTGTGCTGGCAGTGATGGCAGCTGAACGGCCGGTAGCTGCTGTGCTTCCTGCTGTGAGTGATGAGGTTGGAGCTCTGGCTGAAGCCTTTCCCGCACACCTTGCACACGTGGGGTTTCTCACCTGAGGGAGAACGTACACAGAGTTTCAGAGGAAGCATGGACGGATTATTAGAGAGTGGGCTCCTGGACACAGATATTCAAAAAGCCATAATGTTTCGAAGCAAGACACAGAATCTACATTTATAAAGCTTGTTTTTGTTGTTGTCTCTGTGGTCATTTGGAGGCTCTTTGAGTTAAATTTGTCTTGATTTCTTATCATTTTGAGCCTATTTGTGGTTGGTTATAGTCTATTTTATTAATGTTATCTTTGTGTTCGTTTTATGATCCTCAGTAGTTTTGTCTTTGTTTTTATTTGTGTCGCCTCGTAGTCATTTTGAGTCTCTTTTTGGTTGGTTTTAGCCTGTTTTAGTCATCATGAGTCTCTTTGTAGTAATTTGTTGTCTCTTTTAATCATTTTGAGTCTTTTTGTGGTCATTTTGAGTCTCTACGTGAAGTCATTTTGAGTCTCTATGTGAAGTCATTTTGAGTCTCTTTCTAGTTCATTTGTGTTGTTTTGTGGTCATTTCTTCCGTGTCTTTGTGGTCCTTTGGCCCCATGTCACAGTCGTTGTGAGATTCTTTCTGGTCTTTTTGTTCTCTATGTACTCTCTTGGGTGTCTGTATAGTTTTTTTTAATGTGTTTTGTGTTCACTCACCTGTGTGTATAAAGGTGTGTTTCTTCATGTCAGACTTCTGGTGGAACCTCTTCCCACAGTACTGGCAGGGGTAGGGTCTGGTGTCTGAGTGGATGAGCAGGTGTGTGGACAGAGTGGACGAGCGCTTGAACACCTTACCACACACCTTACAGCCAAAGTTACGCTCCTGAAATCACACACACATGTTCACACTGAATCAGACACGAGAACACCCAATGTTTACTTCAGAAACTCTAATAAGTCATGTTTTTGCACTGTCTGTTATTTTTGCCAGAGATTGCTTACAATAGAGTAATAGAGCAATTAATGAAAGTGTTTAGGTGCAAATAAAAATAAAAGTGTAAAGCCCACAAAACGTTTCTTGTAGGTTCAACTTATTGTTTTCACACTCAGGCATTAGTAAGTTTTACCAACTCAAAATATGGAGACATTCACCCAACTCGACATTGTTGACCCATCATTTTTACATTTTAGCTAAGAAACAGAACAACATAAAATCGATTAAATTGAGTAAACATTAAACAAAACAGTGTAAGGGTTGCATTACCGTATAAACTAACTTTCTCCCAAAACTATAAATATTTCATGTTTATAAGAAGTAAAACTGACAAGTAAAATATAGACAGGAGAGGTTATGTAACTGAAATAGAATATATTAAAGTAAGCTAATTCATTAAGTAAACTAGAAAAGGAAAGTACATTGTTTTGAGTTATATTGGCAATACCTGGTAATAAAAATCGAGTATTGCACATTTTATAGATGTATTTGTATAGTTCTCAGTGTTGGATCAAAGTATTTCTCTTATACATTATGATTCTCAGTGAGTATTGTACCTTAGCTCTACCATAGCTGCCTAACGCTCTGAAGCCAAAGGGCACGGGGTCTCCGGCGGAGGGAGATTGAGGTGAAGGAAGAGAGAGTGCTGTGTGAAGATGAGCCTGAAGACCAACTCCTGAGGTTAAAACTTCTGAAAGAGACTGAGGGAGAAATAAACTGTGAGAAGATACAACTATAAGGTCTTGTCTTTACATATGAAGCTACGGCTATCCCAGTTAGTTTAGCCTAGCATAAAGACAGCTAGCATGACGTGCTATGTATTTAACTGGTCATTTTTGCAGCACTGTGTAGTCTTTTTTTTCTCCTTCTGAGTCTCGTTCTAGTTCATTAGTGTCTCCTTGTGGTTATTTGCCCAATTGTATGGTCTTTGAGTCGTATAATGTTCCTTTGTGTTCACTTAGCATCTCTGGTATGTGGCTCTTTGAGTACAAAGCTTGTGTTAATGAAGTTACGAATGTAGGCAAAGACCTGTACTTAGTACCAACGATCACAAATGTCCTCAGGGATTAATTCAACATCCTTTGTTAAACAGCAGAATGCTCTATTGAGGAACAATTACAGTTAAGAAGTGCAGTCCTTTTTTTGAAATAACCATTTAGATCACATGACCTCTCCACAACAAGAAGACATATTGCAATCAAACCCCTTAGTTTAAAATAACTTTTTACATGTATATTTAATTTAATATGCCATTTCTTGCTCCCTTAATGTTAATAATATCCTACTTTTAGATTATGTAAACTGTAATTAGGCCCTTCAATAGTGTTTCATTTGTCAGTTTACAGATTTATATCTTTACGGTCAACTTGTATTTTCAACCATTATTTTATCGCCACTTTGTTTGTTTTGTTTTTAATTATTATATGTTAAATGCCTATGTGAAGCACTTTGAATTGCCTCTGTGTCTTAAAATGTGCTATACAAATAAACTAACCTTGAACCTTTCTATATTGAGATGTTTATATTGTATAACTTTTTTCTACTCTTTTTAATGTGCAAGGCCCTGTTTTATATGCTGCTGCAACGAAAGCATTTCCCAAATGAAGGATCAATAAAATATATCTTATCCTAACAGTACAACTTACAGATGTTATTTTACACACTGATCCCCTGTGCTGTGTCACTCTCTGACATGTTGCTAATTCTGTATCACTCTCTGACATGTTGCTAATTCTGTATCACTCTGGCCGTTTCTCAATGTCGAGTATACATGCTGCAGAGCCACTATTTCAAGTATACTACGTCATCGAGTGGCGCCGAATGCTGGGCATTTAACATGCATTTAAAACAGTCCTTCGGCGCCACTCGATGACGTACTTGAAATAGTGGCTCTGCAGCAGGTATACTCGACATTTAGAAACGGCCTCTCTCTGACATGTTGCTAATTCTGTATCATGGCAGTTTCTTTTGTCGTTGTTCACTCATGGTTTCCTCTTTCATAACCGCATCAGATAAGGACGTGTGATGGTTCAGAGGCTTCTCACCTTCTCACAGAGCGGACACTCGCTGACGGGGGATCGCAGGTCAGTGTGCGAAGTGTGTTTCAGCAACATGAAGACCAGACCCTCCAGATGCCGCTCCCTCTCAGATGCCTGCAGAGGAACCTCTCTGCCCTCCACTGTGAGGAGGAAGAGGATGAAGAACATGTGTTTAGTTTATTACAAATCCTTTCTAGATGAATTCCCAGGGTCTTTGATTGGCATTTTGAGCCCTTAAGATAGATATATAGATAGATAGATGGGCGGATGGACAAACAGACAGCTTTAAAAATCCCAAATTGGGAAATTATTTTATTACAGGACCAGTGTGCTCATCATTAAAATACAAATACTTTTAAAAGTGGAAAAGAGTTAACAAATAAAAAAAATAGTATATCAAATCAAAACAACATTCAACGCCGACAGGACACAGGGGCTGGCGTCGGCCGGAACACCGGAGCCGGAAACATGGCTGCTGGGGCCAGAACCAGAGCCGGAAACATGGCTGCTGGGGCCAGAACCGGAGCCGGAAACATGGCTGCTGGGGTCGGAGCAGGAAACATGGCTGCTGGGGCCAGAACCGGAGCCGGAAACATGGCTGCTGGGGCCAGAACCGGAGCCGGAAACATGGCTGCTGGGACCAGAACCGGAGCTGGAAACATGGCTGCTGGGGCCAGAACCGGAGCCGGAAACATGGCTGCTGGGGCCAGAACCGGAGCCGGAAACATTGCTGCTGGGGCCAGAACCGGAGCCGGAAACATGGCTGCTGGGGCCAGAACCGGAGCCAGAAACATGGCTGCTGGGGCCAGAACCGGAGCCGGAAACATGGCTGCTGGGGCCAGAACTGGAGCTGGACACATGGCTGCTGGGGCCGGAACCGGAAACATGGCTGCTGGGGCCAGAACCGGAGCCGGAAACATGGCTGCTGGGGCCAGAACCGGAGCCGGAAACATGACTGCTGGGGCCAGAACTGGAGCCGGAAACATGGCTGCTGGGGCCGGAACCGGAGCCGGAAACATGGCTGCTGGGGCCGGAACCAAGGCTGCTTGGGCTCGGGCCGGTCGCTTGGGGGCTGGAGCCGCAGCCGAAAACTTGGCTGCTGGGGCACAGGGTTTGAGGCAGGCATGCAGACTGTCTGGGGAAGTCACAAAGTCCCTTAAAAATTCCGGTAGTGAGCTCCTTAACCAGGGCTTATCTGCAACCTCCTGGCGTGCCCGTGAAAGAGCAGCCTCCTGAGCCTCTTTACCACGAGCCCTCATCCACTCTCCAAGAATACATAAAAGTTTGCAGGATAATTTGTCAACCTCATCCTCAAAAAATACTGCTAGGTCCATCTTTGGTCTGTTCGTACTGTCAAGGTTGGAGGGAAATAGGACCCAAATGCAGTATGAGGAGAAGAAAAACCAACATGAAGGGTGACAGGAAATAAGGACAGGTAGCGTGGACCAGGAGAGACGACAAACAGACATGGAGCACAGGACAAGACGAGACTAAATACACAGCAGGGTAATCACAGGACAAGACACAGCTGGGCAGGGGAGGCAGAAACACAACAGGTGAACACAATGAGACAATCAGACACAGGAGGGAAGCTTTAGGCCCAATCCCAAACCACTCCCTCGACCCTACCCCTCCGTGACGGAGTGAACTCCGTCTGTAGCCACACTCGCAGCTCAACGAGGCTTCCTCCTGTCAGATGGAGGGAGTAAATACAGCAGCAAGCTTTGGGACGGCCTCCCCTCTCTCCGGCAGAAACAGGAAATGCCGTAACTGTATCTAACAACGGTTTCAAATCAGCATCTCTTAGAAAAAAAGTTTAAATTAATAACTCAAATAAAACTCCAAACATCTTTCATTGTGTTTCAAAGCTCTTTTAGTTTTAAACCTGATGTTTATAAGCTTCTTAGTTTTTGCAACGGTCTGTAAATATACACAACTTTATAATAAAATGCACATGTTTACCTTTTTCTAGACTAAACACAGGTACGATCCTAAGTTAAAAACATATGAGGTCATCATGAGGTTGTTAACATCGCAGTTTATTAGTGGATGTTTGCTGGAACTACTTTTTAACAGCTTGTTTCCCGACGGACACACACAGCGTGACTCCGGTTCAGGTAGAGACCGGTCTCAAGTCAGCATCGCTGCAGACTCGCTGTTTGAGGGCTTGATAGCCCACTCCCCCTCCACACTCGTTGCTTTGGAACAGCCCTTAATATGGCGGACCCTCCGCGTGAACGCGCAAACGGAGGGGTAGGGTGTAGGGGGCGGTTTGGGAATGGGCCGTAGACAGGAAGACAAACACAGGAAAAAGGACCAGACAAGAAGGAAAACATTTCAAAATAAAAAGGTGGAAAATGAAAACAACATAAATCCAAAACCATGACAATAATATACTGTATATATGAATGATAGTAAAGTGTACATAGAATCGTGAATAATGGTAATGGTAAAATCTTTTTACATACTGCGAGTTATTCAGCTATTCACACCTCATTCACGCAGAGCAGCACCACTTTCTCTAAGGAAGCTAACATTCACACCCACACACACACACACACTCAGGGTTCAGTATCTTAGTATATTTTGAAGCAGCATTTTCATTTTATGCTACTTAATACTTCTACTCCACTGCATATATCTGACAGCTTTTACAGATTCAGATTATTAGCTTATTATAAAATCATTTAATAAATCAATACACTCACTTTATTAGGTACAGCTGTTCAACTGTTAACGCAAATATCTAATCAGCCAATCACATGGCAGCAAGTCAATTCATTTAGGCATTTAGACATGTTCAAGACCACCTGGTGAAGTTCAAACAGAGCATCAAAATGGGGAAGAAAGGTGATGAAAGTGACTTTGAATGTGGCATGGTTGTTGGTGTGAGTATTTCAGAAACTGCATAGGGCAACACGACTACAAAGACCCTCAAAATGACTCTGAAGTGACATAAAGCAACTACCAAAAGAACCAGAAAGACTCATGGCAGCCTTTAAAGGTCCCCTATTATACTATTTTTCATTAATATATTATAGGTCTCAGATATACACAAAACATGTCTCTGAAGTGTTTGGCTCCAAACACCAAACAGATAATTGCAGCATCCCATAATCCCCTCTGTTTCAGCCCTGTTTCAAAAGTGCTGATTCTCTGTGTGTTACTTTAGATGAAAACTAGAGAATGCAATTCCTGAAGAAATTGCTAGTGGGAATGCTTTATGCTGAAAAGCTGACGCTGAATTGCTATGCTGAAATGTAATGTGTAAGAAGAAAGTGAAGAATTTAGATTGAAATGATACATGAACACTGGGGGCTTGAATGTGTGATGAGAGAAGAAAATAAAGTAAAAAGGCTTGGCAGAATATTTGAACTGCAAACTTTTGAACTAACTTCATGGCGAATGATCTGTCGCCATGGCAACGGCATTTGATGACACCCCATAATACGCGTAAGGCCGCTACACACCTGAGACCAAAGAACGCGTACCGAAGGCGTCCCGACTTTTACGTCCGCTACGTCGCCTGCGTCGGCTACGCCGCCCGCCTACGCCGCCCGCCTACGAACACACCGCAAAGACTTCAGTCGACGAGTGGCAATAACTGTCCTTACCAGCAGGCAGCGGTAGTGTGTATTCGTCATTCAAAAGAGGCAACAGCCAATCAGAATGATTTCTTTGGCCGTCTTTCTTTGGCCGATTCAACATGTTGAATCGGCCGCGGGAGGTGTGAAAATGTGCCGTAAAGCAACTACGGTAGCGGGACACGCCAACCTGAGTAGGGCGCCGCAAATGCCCGACTGCCTCTGACGGCCTCTGACTCCCAATATCGGGTAGGTGTGTCAGGGCCTTTAGATGCGTTGATGGCTGCATCGTTACCAAACTTGTGAAGTTTTGGGCCATTTCCAGCATTTGAACTGAAGTTATGAGAAAACCGTGTTTCATAGTGAGCATTGTGTTGCCAAGGCAACAGCATTTGAAGAAATCTTAAAACTGTCAAATAGATGTCTTCACAGCTGGACTGTTAGCACACATGTGAAGTTTGACAACTTTTTGACCATTTTCATAGGAGTTATAGCAATATCGTGTTTTACGGCGAGGGATGCGTTGCCATGGCAACAGCTTTTGAGGAAAACGCACTAATAGCACATAGACATGTTGAGGGCTGGACCATTAACCTTTATCTGAAGTCTGCTGCTCTGAGCATGTCAATTGGAGTTATGACATCATCGTGTTCCATGACACAGGTGTTAATATTTGAGCTAACGACGTGTCCAGAGATCAAAGGTTTCCATGGTGATCAGTGAGAGGAAAGCATTTTCATTGTTCTGAATGAGAGATAGACCTCTTACATGTGAACGTTTTGTTGAAGAACCGTAACAGATATCGGTGAAATTTCAAAGCGTGAAGCATGTCAAGGAACTTGAGCATCTGAAGTGTACTTTTTGTGTACTTTCGGGTTAATAATGTGGCCTTTTTGGCAGATTAACTAAAGGTGTGTAGCTGCTGTGGTGGGGAAAGGTGAGGCTGAACTTAATGGAGTTTAATGGAGACATGTTGAAAGTTTTTGTCACTTCATGCCCTCAAAAGGCATTTTGTTTAATTATTTTTGCTTAATTGTTTTTTATCTTTCAAGCTACGAGATGTTTTCCTACGTTTGTCATGAAAAATTATGTCTCAGGAATGTAGGGTTTGGGAATGATGGCAGGTTTAAAAGAAAATATGAAGGCAAATTTCAAACTGTCCTCCACTCTAGCTGTGACATCACGCACTCTAAAATCTGAAGAAGGCCTCTTTACCAAGGTCTGAACAATGTTTATTATCTCTAAAAGTACGAATCAGATTTAAAAGTTGTGTAACACGAATAATGTCAGAAAGATGTGTAATATTTTAAAGTTGGAATGAGGTTTCTGAGTGAAAGTATGACGGAGCAGTTAGCAGTTGAAGTTGCATGAAGATTGTTGAAGTCTGAAGAGTTTCTCCATTGACTTCCATGTTAAAAATGTGATGAATTATGGGATATATCTCTGGAATTATGAAAGTTGTGTCAGCATTCCAGCTAAATAAGGAGCCCCTCCCCACGCCCCTCTGAGAGATATTTGGTTAAAAATAACACAATGGTGCTCTAGGAGGAGATTCAGGTGATAAGGTGGGGGGGGGGGGGATTACCTTGGTTGGTGATTGGCTAATAGTTACACAAGCCAAAAAAATCGTTATGACATCACAAAGTTTGCACAATAGGTGACCTTTAAAAGAGAAACACAACCACTAAGAGACAGAAAGTTCACTGCTACAGTACACCTTTAGTACCTGAAGGCCAGGGACCGTGTGTGGGGGCGCTGAGAGACGGTGAGCACGACAGAAAGTCTTTGACCCCCAACATCGGGGACGAAGGACCCCTCCTCTCTGGTTCTTCTTCAGGGGGCTGAGAGTGCTGTTTATAGGATTCCTTTAAATGCACCAACAGGTGAGTCCTTTTATTCCTCACGAGGAACGACCGAGGCATGGTTTACTGGGGGAAATAATGAGATAAAATAAGATATTAATCCCTGTAAGGAAATGTAGGTATCAGAGCAGCGATCAGAGTAACAAATAAGCAGTAGAATCAGAATCAAGTTTATTGCCAGGTACGTTTACACATACAAGTCCTTTGCTTTGGTATCTGATGGTGCGAACATAAACAATACAACAACAACAAAATGTGCGAAGTAGGTAAAAAAAAAGAAATTTATAAGGATAATAAAAAATAAGTATTTTTAAGAAACAATTTTGCATTAAAAAAGGATGCGAAAGACAAGTATTTACACCAGATTTAAATGTAATTATTCAAATAACCTTAACAACTAAAAAACACTTAGGACAATGAGTATATGGCAAACTACAACTATTTTAAAGTGGAGGGCTGTTCAGACGTTGCAAAATTGTGCAAAAAGCGTAGTGTACAGTAACTAAGGTTTACTCAATTACTGTACCGAAGTACAATTTTGAGGTACTTCTGCTTTACTTGAGTATTTCCATTTTATGTTACTTCACTACAGTTCAGAGGTAAATGGTGTACTTTTACTCCACGGCATGTATTTAATCCCTTTAGTTACTTCACAGATGTGGATGAATGATGTGAAATATAATCAAGTGTTGAATCAGACTTTAGTTCCACCTGGAGTAAATTCATAAGCTACCCTGCAGTAAACAAAGTCATTCAAACTAGCTTGTCTTTTACCAGCTTTGAGAACACTTTCATGATCAATCATTATAAAACATATCATATATATTATTCTGAAATGGACCAATCTGCACAATGACTACTTTCACTGTCGCTACTTTCACTATATTTTGATGAGAATACTTTTCTACTTTTCTACTTTTACTTGAGGAACATTTTGAATGCAGGACTTTTACTGTAACAGAGTATTCCTACACTCTGGTACTTCTAATTTTACTCAAGTACAAGACCTGAGTACTTCTACTTTTACTCAAGTACAAGATCTGAGTACTTCTACTTTTACTCAAGAACAAGATCTGAGTACTTCTACTTTTACTCAAGTACAAGATCTGAGTACTTCTACTTTTACTCAAGTACAAGATCTGAGTACTTCTACTTTTACTCAAGTACAAGATCTGAGTACTTCTACTTTTACTCAAGTACACGATCTGAGTACTTCTACTTTTACTCAAGAACAAGATCTGAGTACTTCTACTTTTACTCAAGAACAAGATCTGAGTACTTCTACTTTTACTCAAGTACAAGATCTGAGTACTTCTACTTTTACTCAAGTACAAGATCTGAGTACTTCTACTTTTACTCAAGTACAAGATCTGAGTACTTCTACTTTTACTCAAATACACGATCTGAGTACTTCTACTTTTACTCAAGAACAAGATCTGAGTACTTCTACTTTTACTCAAGTACAAGATCTGAGTACTTCTCCCACCTCTTAAAATAAGATATGAAAGGTAACAGTTCCCACAGGATAATAAGAAATAAAAGGATTCTCTACGAATCTCTTATAAATATTCTACATGCCAAATCGAAGCAGTTCTATAAAATCTATATACTTGTATTTCCCTGGCCCTAATTTGTCAGCTTGTATTGTTAAGTGACTATAACATGTCTGAGTATCCTAAAAAGCACTCTCAAAATCAAATGTAGTGTCAGTTTTAGAGCCTCACACACCTGCTGCTTCATGTTCAGTTATAATGCCAGCCTGAGGTTTCCTTAGCAAACACAGCAGAGCCGACACCTGCACAGAGGCTTCAGGGAGGATAACTGACAACCTTTACTCTCCCAATAAAGCTGCATGTACACACACTAAGATCAACCGCAGAATGATTCACAATTTAGGAAAATGTATGGCCACATAACTAACGTGTTAAAAGCATTAATTTACCATGGCATTGCAAATACATTCTTAAAACCGCCTTGAAATAAGTTGATTTGCACATGATGTTAGATCATAAGATAAGATTAATTCATTATTAATGTGTGTGCAGCAACAGCAATAACAAACAGGATAATTAGAATTAAACATTTGTAAATAACAGGTTGAATTGAATTTACAGCAATAGGATAAAGTAAAACTGTTGATGTGTACAGACATGATAATATATATTTACATGTCTTTGTGCGAGAGTGATTTCAAAAGTAGGGTTTTTTTTGCACACGGCAAACAAAACGAGTCAAATCAAGAGAAAATATGTGAAAACAAACTTTCCCAAACTGTTGCAATTAAATTATGCAGACTTTTTATAAAATATGATTTATTAAGCAAACTGATTGTAAAATAATATCCGTTACAACTTTAAATTTGCACAGAAGAAGTCGTAATGTGCCAGAAGATTAATTTTTGCTATGGTATGTAATAACACCTTTAATATTGAATGAATACGTAAAATATTTATACTTTAAATAAGAAAGTTTGCAGCTGAGTTGCTGATCTTACCTTCGCGTAGCTGAGTGTTGAACAAGGTTGTTCTTGGTTGGCAACGTCCTCTTTTCTCCTTCTCACACCCATTTACTGAAGGCATGACAGAGAGATTTGATTTGATTTTTAAAAAGGCTGCTAAGGATTGTGTGACTGGAGGCGCAAAATACCCAGTAAGTTAATCAATATATCAAATCTATAAAGAAATGTAAAATATCCAGCTTGTTTTGGGGGTTTTACCTCTAATGCTACCCTTATTCTAAGAAGCAAATGGAAATTAAAACACAAAACCGTATTGACTGCGGGACGAATACTTGTGTCACTGATGGATTTGCCACTCTAGTGCAAATGAACGTGGGAGGATTCGTAAAATACTCTGAGCATCTTTTGGAAAGTTTGAATGTCATCGCTCTCGTGTGAACATGAGGACCTTTACTACAGAGGTGCCATCTTACGCATTAAGTTTGACACTCATGGTAAAAGACAGAGGCGCCAAAAACGCTAAGTCATTGTCCTCCTTCTCATTGTAGAAAAAACAATAGCCACTTCAATTGTAGGCGCAGAGTGAAATATAGTGCGAGACAGATTGGAAATCAAGACATTATCTTGGCTATAAACGCTTAAACAAAATTCAAAAACCACCTTGAACAAACTAATAATAATAATAAGATTACATTTATTATAGCACCTTTCAAGGGACCCAAGGCCGCTTTACATGCTGTGAACAAACAAACATGTAGGGCAAATAATAATGTAAAACAAATTATATGAAAAATAAAACTAAGAAGTTCACTTCAAAAAAGCAATGTCTCTTGATTTTTGTAATTAATCCAATATATTTTTAAAGAGGACATTTTATGCTAATTTCCAGGTGTATATCAGTATGGAGTGTCTCTACTTTAAAGAGTCCTCTCCTGCTGATGTTCAGGTGTATATCAGTATGTAGTGTCTCTACTTTAAAGAGTCCTCTCCTGCTGATGTTCAGGTGTATATCAGTATGGAGTGTCTCTACTTTAAAGAGTCCTCTCCTGCTGATGTTCAGGTGTATATCAGTATGTAGTGTCTCTACTTTAAAGAGTCCTCTCCTGCTGATGTTCAGGTGTATATCAGTATGTAGTGTCTCTACTTTAAAGAGTCCTCTCCTGCTGATGTTCAGGTGTATATCAGTATGTAGTGTCTCTACTTTAAAGAGTCCTCTCCTGCTGATGTTCAGGTGTATATCAGTATATAGTGTCTCTACTTTAAAGAGTCCTCTCCTGCTGATGTTCAGGTGTATATCAGTATGTAGTGTCTCTACTTGAAAGAGTCCTCTCCTGCTGATGTTCAGGTGTATATCAGTATGTAGTGTCTCTACTTTAAAGAGTCCTCTCCTGCTGATGTTCAGGTGTATATCAGTATATAGTGTCTCTACTTTAAAGAGTCCTCTCCTGCTGATGTTCAGGTGTATATCAGTATATAGTGTCTCTACTTTAAAGAGTCCTCTCCTGCTGATGTTTAGGTGTATATCAGTATGTAGTGTCTCTACTGGGACATGTCTCCATGCTTTAATGTTCAAAAAGCTCTTTATTGTACTCATGCTGCAGCACCTCTTCTCACCCTCTGTCTGAAACCAGAGCCCAGTCTGCTCTGATTGGTTAGTTGGCCGGCTCTGTAGTGATTGGTCAACCACTTAGAGATGTCCCGCCCTTTAGCCTATCACGTACAATGTGTTGGAACGCTAACCGTTATTTTTAGCCTTTGCAGACAATTTACATGCTCAAAAACCTATAGAACACACTAGGAAAGCGAGAAAAAGCATAATAGGGCCTCTTTAAAATAATACATTGATAAGAGACCAAAATAACAACCGTGTTTCAACGATGTATTTTACAAATGTAGTAGCATCAAGTGTGAATCTGACCTCAGATTGAAATCAAATCATCGAGGGCCACATATGAACTTAACTCAATGCATTTCTAAATGTGGCTTTATTTCTGCAAACACCTCATTTGACTCCTGGTGTCAGCAGCACAGAATGAAGCGGAGTTTTCCTTGATGTGCATGAAGAGAGGCATGTCGCTGTGGTCGGTGTGGTGGGGGGGGCTTTTAGCTCTCTCCCGGGGGCTCGATGTCAGTGCCGGGAGCTGAGATGGGACGGTGGGTTCGGTGGGTTTCTTTCTACCTCACTTGTTTCGGGGGCTTCTTGTTCCCCTCATGGTGGGTATGAAGCTGCCTTTCTAGGAACCTGAAACTCGGGGGGGAGGAGGGGGAAACGGGAGTGTGACTGAAGTGTAAAGTTCATTTTCCCATTGCTTTGTTTCTGGTACCATGTTTAAAGTTTTTGAATCTGACTTTGTGCGGTGTATTACGTTGGAAGAAAGTAGTATTTTATGATATGTATTACATTTCATTTCATTTTTTTACTCGTACGTGTCAACCTACCTGAGAATAAACCTGTTTCTGATTCTGATTCTATAAATGCAACCTATAATAACAAATATGTTTCCTCTTTGTTTTAAACTATACCATTTTAAAAAGTGTATCAGAAATCAAGAAAACAATCTCTTTAAAGTACCTACTCTAATTTTACACATTTAAATGAGACACTGTATCTTTAAAAGTAGAAAATATAACATTATTTCCCTTACTTAAAAAAAGTATTTTAATTCATTAGAAATTAATAAAAAATGTGCTTAATTCAATACATTGAAGGTTTTATCTTTTACAACTGTATTAGGTCTATTTTAAAGTTGCTTAGGGTGTCTGAACTTTGGTTAGATACTGAAGTATAAGTACTTGGTTTTGTAGTTAAAGTTGAAACCCTTATGATTGTAGTCCTAGTTAATACAAATCACTATTTGTGTGACAGTATTGTAATTGTGTCTGGAGTTTAACAGGCTGGAGTCATGCTTTCAGAAAAGTTTCCTTTTGTATGTTTACAATGGAGAAAAGCTAGCAGAAATATGAGGAAAATATCTCTCGTCCCCGGCTTGAGCTTCAATCTCAGGATCCATGTATTTCTGATCCTCTCCAGAATGGAAGTAGTCATCACATACAGAGCATTAACTAGTTCCTGAACAGTGTCCTTCACATGCTGATATCCAAAAGAGGGAGTTACACAGTCACAAGATGGAGGAATACCGGTTCAAAGCAGTATTTGTTCAGATTGGCTAAGGCCCACGTCAGAAATGAGCATGCTTGTCATATGTCTATCACCATAGAGGCTGAATCATTATGTTAATCACATAGCTATCATATGCCTAAAACAGTTTGTCATGCTTCTCTTCTAGGTAATCATACATCTTGTCATATACACTATTATACACTCGGGCCTTCCTATCATGAGCCTTCTATCTCTGTCTTTGAAAGAGTACATTCAGTATTTTCCGAAACACGCACTCACTCCGTAATACCGCTAAGATTTAATAATTGCAATACTTTAGTGTGCCAAAGACTCAATCACCAATGTATACTTCTTTCCGACAAAAATCACATTTTCCATAACATTGATATACATTGTCCATTTCTAGAAAAGTATTGGAGATGAGCTTGACATGTGCCAGAAAATCCTACTAGATGTTTATTGCATGCTAAAATGCTAATTGTTGTAATATATATTTACATTCAGAAAGGTTTGCACTCAACACATAGTCCTTAAAAAAACAAACCGATAATTATTTCAGTGTCAAGTGATTTGTATCCAATATTGTTGCTGCCACTTGTCATGTACTTTCTCAACATGCCACTGGTAAAAGCAAACAGTGTGTTGTAGTATAATTAATGACATAATGAGATAAAATGTATCAGTGTTAAATAAGAAGCATCCGATAACAGGCCACAGTCTCATGAAGTGTATCTGTGGCTCTCAGTGGTTTCAGAGAGAGAAGTGTCGTGCCACTTTCTTTCTCCCGGCCGACAACTTCTCTCTCTCGCTGTCACCAGTTTGCCCCCACCCACCCATTTTACACTCATTGCCTCGTAACGTTTCATCTTTTTCTCACCGCGTTTGGGGAAAGAGCGAAGGTCACGGACAGTGCAGGACTTTCTTTTTCTTTGTGGGGCGAGGTCCTCGCTTAGTGAGGGTTAAACGCTGCTAAAGTATGTGTTTCTCTACTCTGAAAATGCCTTTGATCTGAACCTTTGTTCCCTTGTCACATATCTTCACCTGTACCAAACCCAGAGGTGGAAGAAGTACGCAGATCCTTGAATTGAGTAACATTTGACAAATGTAGGCCTTAAAACACTCCGTAACACGTAATTTTAAGTGCGAAGTGACTAAAGTAGAAGTACATAAGCATTATCAGCTAATTGTACATTCATAACGGCCCCTTTCACAATAATATATTTTTTTCTATCACTAACAACAGTATACATGTTGGGGCATGTACTACAATGTATGCTATGTTATGTTACTAACATTTAAGATTTATTTTGGTTATTGGTAGTGCACTACTGAATCATTTCATATCAGCAAATCACAAATATGGAAAAAGGTTAATAGTAAGTACGAGTTTTAAATAGATGTAGTGGAATAAAAGTTGGATAACATTGAAATGCTCAAGTACAATTATGTCTAAATAGTACGAGTAAGAGTAAATGTACTTACTTTTCACCACTGTTCAAACTGATAAAATAGTTTTGGGACCATTTAGCTGTAGGGTTAGGCTAGTTTTAGGGTAATTTGGTTAGTGTTTTAGCTTATAAATGTTTCTGCATAAAACATGAACTCTCTGCAATTCTAAGTAAGTTAGTAAAATATAGTCTAAAATCCCATTTCACATATCTCCATTCTGTGTTATGATTTGACTTGTATTTTAACAGTTTGTAAATAAAATAAATCAGAATCACAAAAGTAAATAATATACTGTATAAAAACACAAAGAGACAGTGATAACGAAACAAGAGGTTGCTTTGCTTTACATGCTGTATAAACAACAAATGTATTTATAGTATAGCCATGGGAACTGTGCACTCAATATCACACATATCACAGGGTCATGTTCAAGAGCAAAGCCACAACAACTGTGCCTCCAACTGAACAGGAAACCAACTCAATGAGGTATTCTTCTTTCTATGATACGACACCTTCCTACTCTCTTCAATCAATTGCCATCAGATTGAAAACCTCACAGATTCAGATTAAAACCAATGTTGGTGTTTTCCCTCAAAGAGGTAAATGGGGTAAAGCATTTTGTGGTCAGATAGCTAAATAAAGTGTATGAATATGTTCCATTCTTGACTGCCAACCCCACGTAAGAAATGTAGTATGGAGGTGATGGTGGTGAAACTGAAGGTGGGA